TTTATGTCTGCTTTTCTTGAGATTAATCAAGTATTATGATTTTATCTTTACTATTGGTTTATCTACATCCAATAGAATTATACTAATGTGTAAAAACTTTACAGCACTATACTTCCATGCCCATTTCCTCCAGTCTTTTAAATTTTGTTGTCTTATGTTTTGTTTTTATATATGTTATAAATCCCATAATATGTTTTTGATATTTTTACTCTAGTATATCTTAGATTAATAATGACAAATTTCTTTTACACACATAATAACCATTTCTGTCACTTTTCATTTGTTGGATGTCTATTCATATTTTCATCTGGTATCATTTTTCTTCTGGAAGAATTCTTTAATATTTCTTGTTGTATAGTTCTCTTCATAGTGAATTTTGTAGTGAATTCTGCTTGTAGTGAATTTTTTTGGTCTGAAAAAGTCTTTATTTTTCCCTTAGTTTTAAAAGATAATTTTACTTGGAATAGAATTTTAGGTTGACAGTTATTTTCATTTAATATTTAAAAGATGCCACTCCATTATCTTCTGGATTGAAGATTCTGATGAAAAGTGTTATATCACTCCTTGTTTCTCTGTTTTTTGCACTGCTTTTAAGATTTTCCTATTTTTCACTAATTTTTAACCATATGAATAATAACGTACCTTGAAATGGTTTATCTTTTTTCTGCTTTAGGTTTGTTGAGATTCTTGGATCTCTAAGTTTATTTTAATCAGATTGGGAAAAAAATTGGCCATTATTACTTTGAATACTTTTTTTTTTTCCTATTCTCTCCATCTGCCTTCTTGTTTTCTGGGACTCCAATTACAAGTATTTTTGACTGCTTGATACTGTCTTATAGATCACAGCTGCTGTGTTACTATTTTTTTCTTGCCCTTTTTTCTCTCTCATTTTATTTTGATAGTTTCTATTGCTATGTCTTCAAGTTCACTGATACTTTTCTTTTGCAGTGTGTAATCTGCTTTTAATTCCATCAGTTTATTTTCCATTTCTATTGTATTTCTTGTATTTAGTAATTCTATTTGTGTTCTTTTTAAATATTTTTATATATATTTATATTTTGTATTTTTCATTTCTAGCACTGCGTTCCTGGTTTACTGTACCTTCTTGAGTCTGTGTAGCATAGTGTTTTTTTGTAACAGCTGTTTCAATGTCTACCCTAATTCCATCACTTATGGTCGTTTCTGGGTCTATTTCTATTGAGTACTTTTTCTCCTGTTTGTATATTATAAGGGCTTTCTAGTAGGACTGGTGGGAATGAGTAATTACCCGCCCTGTTTGTGTTGAGGGAATTTTTTGTTCTACTGTTTTCCATGGTCCTTTTTCTGGTCTCAGGTAGTTTTTCCTCCTAATATGAGTGAGGATCATTATCTAACCAAAGACTCAGGGATAGCCTCTGCAGATTAGCAGAGCTCATGCTGCCTTTCCCTTTGTAACTCTTTCCTTTCTGGTATTGTGCTCTAGAAATCAGAGCTTCCTTGGCTTCCCTGAACTCTCATCTTTACCTCCCTCAACCCAGGCTCTATTTGGGTCACTTGTACTACAGCCTGGAAACTACTTAATACTTCCATGCAATAAGCTGGGCAGGTGTAAAACTCTTCTGGTTTGTTTCTCATTTATCAGGGATCACATTTCTCTGCTGCCTGTTCCCTAGTGTCTGAAACCTTTAGCATATTTATCTCTTCTGGGCGTTTAAGGCAGGAGAGTAAATAGTCTTAGTTACACCATTGTAATCTGAAGCGGAAGTCCTCTTGTTACAATTTTTTAAAAAATGTGTGATGGTAAACAGTTTTTCATACATTTTAGGGTAATTTTTATGTCTTTTTAAAAACAGTTAAGCTTTAAGTTCTGAGATACACGTGCAGAACTCGGAGATACATGTGGAGGTTTGTAACATAGGTATACATGTGCCATGATGGTTTGCTGCACCCATCAACCTGTCATCTAGGTTTTAAGCCCCACATGCGTTAGATATTTGTCCTAATGCTCTCCCTCCTCTTGCCCCCGACCCCATGGCAGGCCCCGGTGTGTGATGTTCCCTTCCCTATGTCCATGTGTTCTCATTGTTCAACTCCCACTTATGAGTGAGAACATGCAGTGTTTGGTTTTCTGTTCCTGTGTTAGTTTGCTGAGAATGATGGTTTGCAGCTTCATCCATGTCCCTGCAAAGGACATGAACTCATTCTTTCTTATGGCTGCATAGTATTCCATGGTGTATATGTGCCACATTTTCTTTATCCAGTCTTTCAATGATGGGCATTTGGGTTGATTCCAAGTCTTTGCTATTGTGAATAGTGCTGCAGTAAACATATGTGTGCATATGTCTTTATAGTAGAATGATTTATAATCCTTTGGGTATGTACGCAGTAATGGGATTGCTGGGTCAAATTGGTATTTCTAGTTCCAGATCCTTGAGGAATCACCACACTGTCTTCCACAATGGTTGAATTAATTTATGCTCCCACCAACAGTGTAAAAGCGTTCCTATTTCTCCACATCCTCTCCAACAGCATCTGTTGTTTCCTGACTTTTTAATGATCGCAATTCTAACTGATGTGAAATGGTATCTCATAGTGGTTTTGATGTGCATTTCTCTAATGACCAGTGATGGTGGGCTTTTTTTCGTGTTTGTTGGCCACATAAATGTCTTCTTTTGAGAAGTGTCTATTCATATCCTTCACCCACTTTTTGATGGAGTTGTTTGTTTTTTTCTTTGTAAATTTGTTTAAGTTCCTTGTAGATTCTGGATATTAGCCCTTTGTCAGATGGATAGAGTGCAAAAACTTTCTTCCATTCTGTAGGTTGCTGTTCACTCTGATGATAAGTTTCTTTTGCTGTGCAGAAGCTCTTTCGTTTAATTAGATCCCATATGTCAATTTTGGCTTTTGTTGCCATCGCTTTTGGTGTTTTAGTCATGAAGTCTTTGCCCATGCCTATGACCTGAATGGTTTTACCTAGGTTTTCTTCTAGGGTTTTTATGGTTTTCGGTTTTCCATTTAAGTCTTTAATCCATCTTGAGTTAATTTTTGTGTAAGGTATAAGGAACGAGTCAAGTTTCAGTTTTCTTCATACGGCTAGCCTGTTTTCCCAGCAACCTTTATTAAATAGGGAATCCTTTCCCCATTGCTTGTTTTTGTCAGGTTTGTCAAAGAACAGATGGTTGTAGATGTGTGGTGTTATTTCTGAGGCCTCTGTGCTGTTCTATTGGTCTGTATATCTGTTTTGGTGCCAGTACCATGCTTTTTTGGTTACTGTAGCCTTGTAGTATAGTCTGAAGTCAGGTAGCGTGATGCCTCCAGCTTTGTTCTTTTGGTTTAGGATTGTCTTGGCTATCTGGGCTCTTTTTTGGTTCCATATGAAATTTAAAGTAGTTTTTTCTAGTTTTGTGAAGAAAGTCAATGGTGGCTTGATGGGAATAGCATTGAATCTATAAATTATTTTGGGCAGTATGGCCATTTTCATGATACTGGTTCTTCCTGTTCATGAGCATGGAATGGTTTTCCGTTTGTGTGTGTCATCTTTTATTTCCTTGAGCAGTGGTTTGTTGTTCTCCTTGAAGAGGTCCTTCACGTCCCTTGTGAGTTGTATTCCTAGGTATTTTATTCTCTTTGTAGCAATTGTGAATGGGAGGTCACTCATGATTTGGCTCTCTGTCTTTTATTGGTGTATAGGAATGCTTGTGATTTTTGCACATTGATTTTGTATCCTGAGACTTTGTTGAAGTTGTTTCTCAGCTTAAGGAGTCTTTTGGCTGAGACGATGGGGTTTTCTAAATGTACAATCATGTCATCTGCAAAGAGTGACTATTTGACTTCCTGTTTTCCTACTTGAATACCCTTTATTTCTTTCTCTTGCCTGACTGCCCTGGCCAGAACTTCCAATACCGTGTTGAATAGGAGTAGTGAGAGAGGGCATCTTTGTCTTGTGCTGGTTTGCAAAGGGAACGCTTCCAACTTTTGCCCACTCAGTATAATATTAAAGAACATTTTACCTTTTTCTATCTAGTGTGTTTTTCTGTGTTTTTGTTGGTCTTTTCATTCTCCATTTTTAGGCCTTTACATGTTAGGAATATATTTCTTTTAATTATACTTCACCTTTAGTATCTTTTGTGCGACTCTACTCTTAGTGTGATAAGCACTGGGTTGGTATTAGGCAATGAGGAAGATATGGAAGTTTCTTTTGCCTTGAGATGTTTGTATAATAGTTTAAGAGCTCCTTTATTCATTTTTCATTTTAAATGTTTGAGTTATAAAATAATACGATGCATGAATGTTCTTCCAGGTGGCTACATGACTTATTCAGTACCTCCCTCAGAACTCTGCTCACATGTTTCTTTATCAGGGAGATCTTCTGTTTAAAATTGTAATTCTCTTATACCTCCCTCCCTGTTTCCTATTTCTATCCTCCATCTTTAAAAAAATTTTTCTCTGTAGCAGTTCTCACAGTAACATAACATATATTTTGTTAATTTATCTTGTCCCTAAAATGCTAGTAGCATTAGGTTAAATATTGGAGCCTTTTACTAGTCCCTGTCATGTAATATTGCTTAATAAGCATTGTTTAATCAGATTTTCCTTTTTGTGGCTTGCCCTGGCACAAAATGAAAGGTGAATTGGAAGAGGCAGAGACTTGAGAAAGAAGAGACTGTCAGTTTTGTACATGTGTAAGGTGGCAGAAACTTAGTTGGAATGATAGCAGTAAGAATAAAAAGGGAAAGGCCTGTTGGAAGCGACATTAACAGGAGAGTGTGGGTCACCAGCCTTGTTAGTGTTTACTATTGGTAAATAAAAAGTAAAAAACACCACATTTGCATTTGGATTATGTTTTTAATATAAATATTTATAAAGCAAAATCATAGGCTTTTGAAAGTGAGTTTGAGTAAATCCTGGTGACTTTTTCTATCCTTGTAAATCATTACTTAAAAATACAAATATTAAAGTATCTAGCAGAAGTCTTGTTGATTTTTCTGGTTTATTGTTTTTCTTTGATTTTTTTTTTATAGAGCCTTGCTTCCTGTTCTACATCACAAATCTAAAAAAGGACCCCCCCGTCAAGCCAAATATGCCATTCATTGTATCCATGCGATATTTTCTAGTAAAGAGACCCAGTTTGCACAGATATTTGAGGTAATGAGAAAAAAATTTTCTTGTTTGTTTCATATGTCATAGTTACAAAACAAATATTGATGATTTAATGGAATGTTCCCATTTGGTGATGCATCATTTTGTAATATATTTTCAGAGTCTGAATCAGTAAAATCAACATTGATATGTATTAAAATATGAAAATATCTCAGTATTCAAAAGTTTAATGATAACTAAGATTCAGAAATCAAGCATTGTATATTTTTGTACATTGGTTTATATGTTTGTATTTGGAGACTATTTTTTGTTAACAGGTAATTACATATGAAATCATAGTTACAGATAGTAGGTAACAGGTGATTATTCTCTCAATTTATAGGATCAAAAAATTTGAATTCTGTTTGAGAAACTATTGAAGTGTAAGGTTTTGTAAATCAGTACTAATTGTTAATGTAAAGTAAGTTTATACTTTTATAACTGACCTAATTTTGTCAGATATAAAGTGTCTTTTCAATATATATTTTATATTATTTTACCCACATTTTACCACATTACTTTACCCAGGCATTGCAATTTTATTGCTGCCTATTGTAATTAGGACCTAATGCTAACATTACTATTGCAAATAAAAGCTAAGCAGAAAATTCATAAAATCCTACTTTGTAATTTTAGTTCAAGAGCCTTGAGTAAAGCCAAAACAATTTAGAAATTATTCTGACGCTCCTTACCATAAGTACTTCGACTTAATATCTTTGTTTTAGAAACTCTTGTGGTACTTTTGTAATATTTTCATGTATTATGTTCAAGACCTGAAGGAGAAAGAAAAGTAGTTTATCTTTCAAACACCATCTTTCCTTTAGATAGCAGAAAGTTTAGTTTTTGTGTATTTGGGGATGGAGATATTTTCTGTAGTCTGTGTTTGTATATGAGAATGGCTTCAATAAATTGATGTTAATTTATAGGAAAGTTTTTTTTTGTTGTTGTTGTTGGTTGCTCTCCTTTTCCTTTCAATGGTGATGAGAGAAACACTGATAGAAGCTGAATTTCAGAGTAGTTTTGTTTTCATTTTGATATTGTATCTGCTGTTTTATCTTTACAAGAACCTCTATAGTCCTATTACTATGTAACGTGGTTGGCTGGCTTCCTGAAAAAAGGTTTAAGAGAAATATCTGGCATTTTTGAGGTTCCACTAATCTAGGGCCTGGCCATTAATTTTGCTTTTTAGAAATGGTTTTGTTATGGAAAATTATCAAACTTATAGTAAGCTAATTGAAAAAACTATACTGTGATATTTTTGTTTATAATATGGACAATAGGCTTGCAAGATGTGCAATGGAAGTACTGAGGGAAGTCTTGAATAGCAAGAAGTAGACTCCTTTAAATGTATTTTTTGACTAAATGAAGCCTCATATTGCCCTAAGTTGTTGGGAAGAACAGTTTTGTATTGCCTTTCAAGCCTACAATTCTTAGTGTTCTGTGTGGGAGAATAGAGACCAGTTTTTCATTAAAATGTGGCATTAAAATGTCTAATAGAAAATATATTCACCTGCTTCAAAATCAGAAGGATACAAAAAAGAATATACAGTGAAAAGTTCCCCCACCCATGTATCCCCAGCCACTTAGTTTCCCTTCCCAGGGGCAGAGCCATTGTTACTAGTTTCTAAATGTACTTTTCCAGATATATTTTACTCATATACAAGTAAGGGCATATAAATATGCACATGCACACACATATTTTGTTTCCCCTTTCTCTCTTTATGCCAATGGCATATTTTAGTCACCCTTCTGATTTCAAAAACTAAAACACACACACACACACACACACACACACACACACACACACACACACACACACACGTTGTTTGTTTTGTTTTCTGTCTGTTTTTGTTTTCCTGAGGTGCGTTTTGCTCTGTCATCCAGGCTGGAGTACAGTGGCGTGATCTCTGCTCACTTTAACCTCCACCTTTCTTGTTCAAGCGATTTTCTGCCTCAGCCTCCTGAGTAGCGTGGACTACAGGCAGTATGCCCCAAAACCTGGCTAATTTTTGTATTTTTGGTGGAGACGGGTTCCACCCATGTTGGAACTCCTGGTGGACATCGTGACCTCAGGTGATTCCACCTGCCTTGGCCTCCCAGAGTGCTGGGATTACAGGTGTGAGTCACTGCGCCCCAGCCTTACAATAGTTTATTTCGGCGGGCGCGGTGGCTCAAGCCGTGTAATCCCAGCACTTTGGGAGGCCGGAGGCGGGTGGATCACGAGGTCAGGAGATCGAGACCATCCTGGCTAACATGGTGGAACCCCGCTCTCTACTAAAAATACAAAAAACTAGCCGGGCGTGGTGGTCGCGGCGCCTGTAGTCCCAGCTTACTCGGGAGCTGAGGCAGGAGAATGGCGTGAACCTGGGAGGCGAGATTGCGAGTGAGCCGAGATCGCGCCACTGCACTCCAGTCTGGTTGACACAGCGCGAGGACTCCGTCTCAAAAAAAAAAACAAAAAAAAAAAACAAATAGGTTTATTTCTGGTATCATTTTATATGAGTATTTGAAGAGCTTCTTCATTCTTTTGTCATGGTAAAATGCATATTAATGGTTGGGTTTCCTATCAGAAAAGCAAAAATCATTTTATTTGTTATGGTATTTAATATTTGATGCTATAATGAAGACCCCCAAATTCAAGTGACTAGATGTAGTAAAAGCTTATTTCTTGCTTCTGAAAAGCCCAGTGGGTGTATGAATGACCCTCTCTAATCAGTGGCTTAGGGACACAGACTCATTCTGATTAGTGACTTCTCTTTAAATCCCACTGGATCCTTGGCATCAGGCCAGCCAGTGAGTACAGCCTGTGGAGAAGACACACTACTCATACCTACCTCAGTGCATATGTGGCATACTTCATTTTACTCCCACTCCCTTGACCAGAACTCATTCATATATCCTTACCAACTGCACAGGAAGCTACTAGTGGAGTCATCCCTCTGCCCAGGAAATTGAAGTGGATATTGGTGAACCCTAGCAGTCTCTAACAGTTTCATGTATATGGTCATAAACTATATGCTATGAAGTCCATGTTGAAATATTTCTTTACCCTACCTCTAAACTGAATTGGGCAAAACTGAAAATGTTTGAACCTGATGCCTTCTGGACATAGATAACCTATAGAAGTCTAAATGTAATCTTGAGTTAATACTTATACTGTGTATATTTATTGAAATTTTTGTAGTTTTTATACTTTTTATAATTTGAATTACAAAATAAATTTTTGTAATTTGAATTACAAAATAAATTACAAAATTTGTAATTTACAATTTTGTAATTTGAAAATGAAATATGTAAACAGTTTATTTGCATATGTGTAGAGTTGAAATATATTTTCCTCTCCTCATTTTCAGCCTCTGCATAAGAGCCTAGATCCAAGCAACCTGGAACATCTCATAACACCATTGGTTACTATTGGTCATATTGCTCTCCTTGCACCTGATCAATTTGCTGCTCCTTTGAAATCTTTGGTAGCTACTTTCATTGTGAAGGATCTTCTCATGAATGATCGGGTAATTTATATTTTTTAGATTCATGTTCTTTGTAATGTTAACTTTTGGAATTTTATTCAACAAGGAAAGAAGTGAAATGATATCAATAATACTTCCATTTAACTGCCTTGATTTTAGGTTTTCCTGTTTAACAAAAATAAGCCTTGTCTCCATTATAAGTGAAACCACATTGAAACATCTTTTTAGTTGAGAATAGGTTTATGACCTCAAATATATTCCTTGATAAATACAAAATATAACCTGATTCTCTCTATTTCAGGGGTTTAATTTTTGACAGGACATCTATTTTAAAAAATATGCAGATTGGTAAACCAGCTCATAGTATGGTTGTCATGATTATAGTTGTTCCTTTTTCTATATTAAGTTCTTTTCCCTACATTGGGAGAGAATGAAAAAACATTGGGAGAGGAAATAATGGTTTTGTTAGTCTTCAGTTATTTTGTATCTGCCGTGACAGCACTGTACTAGGTTCTCTGGAGAATTAAAAGAAACATGAGATAAAGTTTCTACTCCCAAAGGTAAACATAATGTAAGTAGTGATATTTGGGTTAATCTGCCACCTGATTTTTTATTTTCAGTTTGTCCTGTCAGTTGTGTTCATTTTTCTCTTTTCTTATTTTTGATTAAATATTTTTATTTCATTTTACCAGTCTGTTTTGCACTTTACTATTATTTTAGTAGTTTTCCTAAAAATTACAACATGGACTTTTGACTTATTAAAGGCCAGTGTCAACTGGTCTGCTTTGAACTTTCAGTATAGCACAAGGAACCTCAAAATACTTTAATCCCCTTTATTCCTTGGTGCTTTTTTGTGCTCTTGTTCACACAGTTCTATTACAGCTGTTATTTTATGCAGTTAATATTTATTTAGATTTGCTAACCTATTTTCTCCTTTTGTTTTTCATTCCTTTCTATGTAATGATTTTCTTTCTATCTAAAGAACGACTTTAGTACTTTTTTTTTAGTTTGGATTTCCATTAATGAATTTTGTCAGTTTTTGTTTGTCTGGAAAAATCTTTATTTTACCTTAATTTTTTAAAGGATGCTTTCTTTGGGTTAAGAATTCTAGACTGGCATATTTTCCCCCATCAATGATTCAAATATATTATTCTATTTTCCATTTTCTTTTTTCTTGAGGTTTATTGACAGTCTTGTTCCTCTGAAGGTCTTCTGTCTTTTTGCTGAGAATGAATGTGTCTTTTCTATTTTCCATTGGTTTCCAGTTTTACTATGATGTGTCTGGGTATACTTTCCTTTATGGTTATTGTACTTGGGGCTTATAGCTCTTCTTGTATGTATAGCTTAAAGTGTTTTACAAATTTTAAATAATTTTCAGGCATTATCTTTACATATATGATTTCTGTTTCATATTCTCTTTCCTTTCTTACTGCAGTTCTGTTAACACACTTTAAACGTACATTTTTTTTTGCTGTGGTCTAGCTGTCTGACACACTTTTTCTGTACTTTTCTACCAGCCTCCTCATGCTTCAGTTTTTGTTTTTTTCTGACCTGTCTTTGAGTTCACTCTCTTCAATTTTGTCTAATCGTATGTAAAGCTTATGCATTGAATTCTTAATTTCACATATGTACACATATACTTCAATTCTGTAATTCTATAGTTTTTAAACATAGCTCTTTGTTTTGCTGCAGAATTTGCTTGTCATTAAATCCTTGAAACATCTTAATTATGTTAAGATTATATCTGTTAGGCTTATCATCTTGATCTCTTACAACTTTTGTCTACTTTCTTCTGTAAATTTCTGGTCAAATTTTATCTTGTACATATATTGCTTTTGATTGATAGACTTTTTGTATGAAAAGTTGTTGAGATAATGTGAGGCTTCAGATGAGTTTATATTCTTCCAGAATTTTACTTTTGTTTCTATCAGGCAGTTAAGCCATTGTCAACATCACTTCCATCCAATGAAAATGAAAGTTTGGCTTCAGTTTTTCACAAGCTTGTTTTTTTTTTCTGGTCACCTTATGTCTAGAGTATATTTGTCTGGGATCCACCCAGCAGTCCCAGTTGTTTAACAAGGACTTTACTTTTTAATGGGCTCAGGATTCTTAATCTTGTTCTTCCAGCTCTGTGACAGAAAAGCTTTGCTCAACTTCTCATCCCCCTTTCTTTCACTTTCAGAATCATTAATCGTCTATGTGAAAAAACTAATCTCAATGCCAGACTCAAATCTTTTGCTTTCCCTCCTCATTTGAAACTTTGCGCTGCAAATTCTCACTGCTTTGGTAGTTGTCTGTTCCCTTCAAACTGATTTTTAAAAAATATTTTGTCTAGCCTTTCCATTTGTTTTAGTATGAAAATTGGTTCAGAGCAACCTAGTCACATCTTGTCAGAAACAGAACTGCTCACCATTTTTAATCCATTAATTTGTCTTGTTTTATTGTATATTTGATATGTACAAAGGAATATATATAACATTTGTATAACATGTTTCGTAATACAGTGAACACCTATGAACTGTTAGTTCCTTAGAGTTCTTAGAGTTTTATCACTCTTCAATCCTTTCTGTTTCCTCCCTGTTCCTAATATCTACTCTCTTGAATCTTGGGTTATTCTCTGACAACAACAAAATTTTCCACATACTTGTTTAGTTTTGCTTGTTCTTGAGGTTTCTAAGAATTATATCACACCCTATATAGTCTTGGGGGATTTGCCTTTGTCACTCCACATTTGTTTTTAGGAATAATCTTTGTTACTAAATCTAACTGTGGTTCATTCATTTGTTACTCTATAATTTCACTGTGGAAAATACTGTTTATTTATTCTTCTGGTAGATTGCGGAATATTTCCATTTCTTTACTCTTGGACAGTGCTGCTGTGAATGTTTCTGTTGAAGCCCCCTGCTACATATGAGCAAGAATTTCTCTAGGTTTTATTCCTATGAGTGAAGTTGATGAATCATAGTATATAGACATATTGAACTTTTCACTTTTTTCCAAATCATTTTCTATAATATTTGTTAAGACTTATTTTTCTATTAAGAAATCTGGCAATAATGTTATACTCTGTTGGTAGAAAATAATAGATACAGTATCTAATCTAATATAGCTCATTATAGTCCCAATATGCATTTCTGTGGTTACTAATTAAGTTTATATGTCTAGTCACCCTTCATGTTGCCTACTTTCTGAAATTCCCTTTTGATGTATTTTACCTTTTATTCCCCTTGGTGCTTTTTTCCCATAGGTAATCTTTACCGTCAGATGAAGCGTGCGTTATGGCATTTATAATATTCATCCATGAAATGTGTTAATTATATCCCCTCAAACCTTAGTTATTGTAGATCTTTTTTTACCTTTCTTTGTTATATTTAGATCGCATATGTAGTTCTCTGTCCTCATTGTAGCGCGTTCGCCCATATCCACGGATCATAGGAAAAATACCCAATTTTATATTTTCATTATCGTTATTTTGCTTGCGCTGCCCAGTGGGGCAAACGGTCCGATCCTCCTCACTCACTGCAAGACTTTTTTGCGGGCCTGCGCGCGGCAGGTTCAACGACCTTCTCTCTTCTGCGACTCGACCTATTCAGTTCTCGCCTGAGTAGGCTGGGGGTTAACTAACATGTAGCTTGTCTCTCTCTCGCTTTCCTTTCTTCTCATACCCCATCTTTTCATTAATTACTGGGGACCGTTTGGTCTTCGTAATGTTTTGTAAATATTCTTTTATGTTTGCCTGGTAGGCGGTTTCACCGGGGTGTTAGCCTTGTCTATATGGGAACGGTTTTATCTTTCTTTTCATCCATGGACTTTCTTCGATTCTTTTAATCTCTCGAAATATCGAAAGTAGAATACGACACACGCGGGGGAAACGCTTTCTTTTCGGTAACCCACCCAAAACAAGTGCTGCGTACAAATTAAGGACTTGAGCCAAACTAGCAGGGACGAGCGACAACATAATTTTAAAGCTCGGTCAACCTGTGTCTGTAGTCCTCATAATCTCGCGCAGCTGAACCCACTCAAGTCTTTTTAATTGAATAATGTTTTCTCTCATATAGATTCTCGGCCCCCCAATGGACTGGCAGGGGTTAACGTTAATAGGGGAAATGTTTTTGAAAATTGTTATTCTCTAAACCAGTTATTTTATCCATTTTGCTTTTTTTATAATATCTATCCTGGGATAGAGCTTGAGGGTTGAATCACACATCACCACAAGCTTTTTCTAGAAGAGTGCAAAGATGGTGGTTTTTTTTCTTTTTTTTTTTATCTCGGCTTCATGCTGCCATTCCCGGTCCATCCTTGAATGTCGGCCGACCGGAGTCTTGGGCCTTCTGGGTCGGCCCCAGGCGCCTCGGTCCCGAGGTAGCTGGGACTACAGGCGCCCACCAACATGCCCACCTAGTTTTTGTATTTTTAGTAGAGACAGGGTTTCACCATGTTGGCCAGACTGGTCTCGAACTCCTGAACTCATGTGATCCAGCCAGTTCAGCCTCCCAAAGTGCTGGGATTATAGGTGTGAGCCACCGTGCCCAGCCTGAACAAAAGTTGCTACTTTTAATGTAGCTGTATTTATCATTATTCTTTTGTAGTTAATACTTTTTACATCTTGTTTAAGTAATCTTTTCCTACTCTGACGTCATGAAAATAGCCTCCCATATGTTCTTTTAAAAGTTCGAAGGTTTTCTTTTTTTACACACACAAAAATCAATCCGTCTGGAATTGATTTACTTGTTTTTTGTATGCTATGATATAAGGATTTCATTTTTGCTGCATCTTAGGGTTACCAAATTTCCCAGCACTGTTTTTTAAATATCTTACCATCTCCTAGTAATCTGCAGTGCTACCACTCATGTCTCCTATAGTGCCTCTGTTCTTTTCCATTGATTTGTTTGCCCTTCCACAAGATGTCTTTCCTTAAAGTCTTACAGTTTTCTCTAAAAAAAAAAATTTTAAATTTCTCTCATACAACTTATGTTCGGCGCTGAATAAAGTTTTTAGGATTATGTTTTATGTTTATGATTGATGAGGTGAATTATTTGGTAGTTCTGATTTTATATCCATCTTTCTTGCTAAATTCTATTTTAATTATGTCAATTATAAAGAATGCCAGCTTTATTTTCTAATCCTTGCATATTTTATTTCTGTACATTTACTTACGTTTTAGGTATTTATCCTTTTTCATCCTAACTTACCAGTTTTTGAAAGAGGTATATTCACATCTTCTGCTGTGATGAAGTTTTCAATCTTCTGCTTTTAATCATGTTTGTTCTGGTTTATTTTGTTATTCTGCTAGTTGTATAAATGTTCGTGAATTTTATATTTTTTTTGGTGTTGTAAGATAAAATATATCAGTATCCCATTTAAGTCCATATCCTCTTCAGTGCTTTTCATCTTGACTGGTATATTTTTCCATCCCATAATTTTCAGATTTCATATGTCATTTGTTTTTGTTGTATCTTTTGTGGCTTTATTATTTATAAGTCTACCTGATAGTCTCTGTTGTTTCTGGTAGTATCTGATAGTTTCTTATTTATGTAAGGTTTTTGTTTTCATTTTTCTTTGTATTTGTAGTAGTTTATATTAATTTAGTTTTTTCTTGTGAATTAAATATTTTAGTGTTATCTTTGAGTAATTCTTTCAACATGGATTGTAATTTGGAAACTTTCTCTCTTGAATTCTAGTGATCATTCTTCAGTACTGTTTCTTGGATATTAGAATTCTGTGTTTCAAGTCACTTGAAAAATCAGAGCATCGTTTTTTTGGCATCTGGTCTTGCAGCTGAGAAATCTGAAGTTTATTTTTTATTCCTTTTGGTAGCTTCTCTATGGAAACTTTTGGGATCTTGACATCCTTAGTTAGAAATTTCATCACAGTGTACCTAATATGATTCCTTTTTCATTATTTTTACTTCATACTTTGAAGGCACTTCTCAACGAAAGAAATGAGTCCTAAACTGTATGTGAATCTGTAGCTCTTTGTATTTGAGGGAGTTTGCCTTTTGTATGTTAGGGCTCCCTGTTTTGTTGCCAGAGGGTTACCTGAGGTGATATTCAATTACTGTACCTTGACATGAGGGTAAAAATGGGATCTCAAGTGTTCCAAGATTGGTTCAGCTCTTTTGCCATCTGATTTTAATTTCCTGGTTACTACTGTAAACACCTATTTACGAGTACTTACACTTGATCACCTCAGGATTAGTTTGGGGTTGTGCTGAAAGCAAAAACAAACCCCTCCAGCTCAAGATTTTTTTTTTTTTTTAAATACCTTTCCTCTTGTTTAAGAGGTACACCTTTTGGCTGCTTTTTTTTTTTTTTTTCCTTTTAAGTCCTAGTTTTTGCCATCTGCATTAAATAATTGAATCTCAAAAGGGGCTAAATAAGGGAGTGATGTGTAAGAAGTTAGAGTTAGTCCCACCACACACCTAGAAAGAACCAATCGTGATGGATCTGTAAGTGCTGTACATAGGTGCTAGTGAAGGTATGCCTTTCAACCTTTTTTTTTTTTTTTTTAAGTAAATAGGGTTAGATGAGGTACTTTAGTCATATATAACAAATGTCACTGCAGAAGGTACAGATTTCATTCATTTTCTAAGTGCTAATTGAAAAGGAGGATTCATATTTGTGTTTTAAAGTCCTTTTTTTTTTTTAAGCTTCCAGGGAAAAAGACAACTAAACTTTGGGTTCCAGATGAAGAAGTATCTCCTGAGACAATGGTCAAAGTGAGTAATATGCATAGCTCTATTGATTTGAATATAGTTACCATATTGTAATATTTGAGATATTAAAATTTCTATTGCAGAGATATTAAAATCACTCAAGTATTTATGTTTACTGTATGACATTTCTTGTGCTGTGAGACTATAGGGTAATAATGAGAAAGCTGAGATTTTGTGGACAGCTGCACATAATCTAATTTGAGGGGAAAAAAAGATTTGAAAGCTGCTTCCCTGATGGCAAAAGGCAGTGCTAGTCTTTGTGGACTTTCCTCCATTCTGTAAAGATGATAATTCAGATTTTAAACCTGTTCATCTTTTCCATGGGATTTAATAAAACTTTTTATTTCTAAAAAATTCAGCCTATAATTTATTGAATTAGGAGTTTTATAAGATTGCTCATCATTGGTATAGACTTGATTTATTAAAACCGTCTATGGCCTGTAATGTAGACCTCATCTCAATCCACTACCAAGATGTGAAGGCCAAGAATAAATATATTAAATATTGTTATTTTCTAGCTGTAATTTCTTATAAACCCGTCGCGCGCGTGCGCGCGCGCGCGCGCGTGTGTGTGTGTGTGTATTTATAGTTTGTATTACGAACTACCTTTTCACATTGTTCTGACTTGAGGTTATGATGCTAGTTTTGCAGACTCGTACAGTAGCCCCACCTTTACATCAATGAATGATGCTTGATACTTTGAGTCTCAGTATAAACCTGTTTTTCTCGGCATTGGTCTCAAGCTGCAGTTTTTGTATACTTGAAAGCAACACTGGACTAGAAAGTAGGCCACTTACCAACTTACCGGTTGGTAGGCATACTTACCAACTGGCCAGGAAAGAGATCTTCAGTGTTTGCCGTGAGCCAGACACTATTGAAGACCCTCTTAGCGTCTGAGCCTTAGCTCTGTAAAAAGCTGAGATAATATGTGAAAGATAATTTGCACATCATTTTAAAAAGAGATGTACTTGTTCAAAAGAATTCTTGGAAACATTAAAGGAAGTAATGGTGTAAAAATACTTTAAGTACTTCATAATTATAAAATGTAGAACAAATATGAGTGGTATCATTTTTTAGACAGAAGGGATTAAATGTAATTAGTAGTTGGGAACTTAACTTTTCTGATTAGAGAGGTTAAGCATGATTTTACTGTATTTTCCAAAGGATCAAATGCATGTTGGGAAAACATTTTAAAACAGCAAATAACGAACTAGTCTTTAGTCAAATCATTCTTTTGCCATTTTCTTGGAGGTCTGAAACATCTTTAATTTAAAACATTTAAGATTATCTTCATATATACAGAAAAGAATTTTTTTCTTTTCTTAAGAAGCATCCACTAAATACATTTTATTTTTTTAAAAAGTTGATACAGAAATTCTTTCAAAATGTACCAATGTTTTATTTGTTGACTTGTCTCTTAAATAGATTCAGGCTATTAAAATGATGGTTCGATGGCTACTTGGAATGAAAAATAATCACAGTAAATCAGGAACTTCTACCTTAAGATTACTGACAACAATATTGCATAGTGATGGAGACTTGACAGAACAGGGGAAAATTAGGTATGCATTTACTATTTCACAGTTCTTTGGATTGCACAGTATTTCAACTCTTGGTGTAACTGTTGAATGGTGCTGTTTGCTTTTTTAAAAAAAATAATTAGAATTGCTTTGTACATGTTCACATATTTTTACTGGAATGTGCTTTTGTATAGTGGTTATTTTACAGTGGCTGTCATATGTCTGGTGCAGGGTTCTATTATACGTTGTATATATTTTAAACAATAGATTCTTACATTTTAGAATATCTCATATGAAAGTGCGTGTGTACCAGTCAATAACTGGTGTTTTACATTCTTGTTAAATATATAAGGGGAAACAACAGACTGGGTGGAAGGCAACTTACTGAATCTATTTCCAGAAGTGTAAGTAAATGCATACTTTAAAAATGTACTTGAAGTAAATTATTGAAAATGAACACTTTTTTTTTTGTTATTTTATTTTGTTTCATTTTCTTTGAAAGATGTAGTATAGAGTAGTGATTGAAAACTGCTGGACTCTGGAGCCTGGATTCAAATTCTGGCTCCACCACTTACTAGTCAGGTGAACTTCAGTAAGTTGCTTTAACTTCTTGGTCCCTCAGTTTCCTTATCCATAAAGTAGAGGTAATAATTATGTGTACCTGGCTCATCTAGCTGTTATGATATAACTAAATAAGTTAGTATACCTAAGGCATTTAAAACACTACTTAGCACATAATAATTAGAAGCATTGATGATAGTAGTGGTTATTATGTCAGTGTTAGTTGAAATTTACAGGTTTATCCTCTGTGTAAATCAGATGCCATTTAGTGCCCCTCCTTGGTAATATGAAATAGGAGAATAGCTCTGTGCTCCTTGGTATATCTAAATACTTTAATAAGAAAACATAGAAAGATGACTGCCAGCTGCCTTCTGCCTTTCCATCTTTGTATGTTTTGCTTATACTGTATTCTTTGCATAGAATGTTAAGAGAAGCACATCCTTCTCAAACAAAACATATAAAAAAAACTTGGTAAACTATTCATTCTGCATATACAATTGATCTGTTTACTTTCTTTTATTCTAATTAATCTATTCTGTTTTCATTTCTCTATTCCCATAATTTATATACGCCAATGTTTAGGAGTTACAAATAAGTATGTTTTCATTTAAAATTTTTGCTGAATTTGAAATAATTTTGTATTGATCAGCTCAGCCTGGTAAAGAAATTTTTCTCAGTGTTAATACATTTTGCCTTATAAATCAATTTATTAGTTATATTATTTTATACTTCTTATTTGGCCAATTATATTCAGCTATATAAACTTTTATCAGAGAGGCAAAATACTTTGGTGATTTATAACATTCAGGCAGATTGAAGACACACTACACAGGTTCAAATTGAGGTTCCACCATTTATCAGCTGCTTTTATTTATCAGGAAGTTATTTAACTTCTACGTGTCTTAGATTCTTCATCTGTAAAATGAGGATAGCAATAGTATCTCCTTATAGAGTTCATGTATATGTATTAAAATATGTAATGTAATTGGAATAATACCCAGTATATAATGTCACTTAAGCTGGTTTTTATGGAACCCATATGACATTCAGAAGTATTTAGGGGCAGCATAGAGTTGGAATAAGAATTATTTCTGGTAGAGACGTAACAGATGGAGTCTTGGGAGTTGGTAGGTGGAGGTCTCTGTCCTTTCCTTAAGTAGGAAGCTTGCATTCCTGTTTAAGCAACAGTGATTTTTTGTGTTTACACCTTAAACTTTTATGTAAGATTTGATTTGAAGAAAAGTTTCCTCTGCTTAATAAAGCTGAAAACAACAAAACAAAAAAAGTTTATTAGGTTAAATAGAAACCTCTGGTCTAGATGGGAAATTTTAAGGATGGATACACAGGAAGCATTTGTTACCCACATCTGTGAGGAAAACGTCCAACAGGTGGTTTATACTCTTTGCACTAAGAACTATGATTTACCGATTATTAGCTACTTGGAATATTGTTGTTGATAAGATGAGACACACGTTTGAGACAAAGTCTTACAACTTTAGAACCTTACTAATGTTGGCTAGCATCCAGTCAATATTTTTACATGGCCAACTAGATTATTAAGTCTTGGAAAACTAAGACTGTGTCTTTTATTTTAAATACCCTGCAGTGCTATATGTACACAATAGACATAGATTTGTTGCATGGATGTTGAATAACAGTCTTTTACTGTAGAGCTACAAAGGGGATTCTATTTAAGGAGTTACAACTTCTCCCTCCTTATATTTGTTCAAGATCCCCTTTATTTCAGCTAATATATCACTATATTTGGAAGGATTGTTTAGACGTATTTACTAGTCTGGAATTCTATGAATTGTGCTTCATTTTAGCAGTTTTCTCTCCTTGAACTTAAAAAGAGCCTCATGGTAATATTTGAGAAGTTGAATTCTAGCTAGGAATAGTAATGTTTTCCTCACCACACCTGCTTTCATTCTTCTTCTTTCGTGCTTAGCACAGTAGTTGTGGTTGATTTATTAGCAAGCTAGAACATATTTGGTGCCTCATGTATACATAAACGTATCTCCAACAAAATCCATAGAAGAATACATAAAACCTAACAACTAAACATACAGACAGATTTCTTCTGTGCTTGACTAAGACCTGTTTTATTTAGCATGAGGGAATTAAATGACTTGAGTGACGCTAACATTGACTTATGTTTAAAAGAAGAATTTTGTAGTATTAGAAAACATCTTCCAAAGTTAAATGAGCATAATATGGTGTTCAGTATCACTAAATTATTTTCTGTCTTAGTCTGCTCAGACTACTGTAATAAAATACCATGCTTATAAACAACAGAAATTTATATCTCACAGTTCTGGAGGCTGGAAAATCCAAGATCAGGGTGCCAGCATGGTTGGGTTCTGGTAAGGGCCCTCTCCAGGGTTGCAGACTGCTGACTTCTTGCTGTGTCCTCAAATGGCAGAAGTGGTAAACAAGCCCTCTCAGGCCACTTTTTAAAGGCACTAATCGCATTCATGAGGGTTTCCCACAAAGACCTAATCACCTTCACAAAGGCCCCACCTCCTAATACTATCTCCTAGGTCCTTGCATTTCAACATAGGAATTTTGGGGGACGCAAACATTCAGATCACAGCATTTTTTTTTAACTTTTTTTTGGCCAGAATTTTTAATAAAATTAGATGTACAGAAGATTTTGTACAAACATTTTAAATTCTAATCTATTTTCATTCTACTCATTTTTCAGTAAACCAGATATGTCACGTCTGAGACTTGCTGCTGGGAGTGCTATTGTGAAGCTGGCACAAGAACCCTGTTACCATGAAATCATCACATTAGAACAATATCAGCTATGCGCATTAGCTATCAACGTAAGGAAATGGCTATGTACAACTACGTTAGAAGGTCTTTGACTTTTAGGAAGGAAAAAAATCCACTGTCATACATAGATTAAAATCTTGAATGTTTATGGTTGGTTTGTTTTTGAAAAATTTATGCATGAGAAACATCTCAGAGTTCTGAAACTGTCATTTGAGTTTTGGGTCGCTAACATAGTACAGTTGATCTTCTTATTTGTAATAGTTTTCTATAATGTTATCACAGGCATTCAGTTAGCAGATACTGTACAGTTGCTCTTAGGAGAAGTCACAGAATAGATTCCTTCAAGCCCCTGGCCACAACATTTTCATCATCCAGTTAATATACAACCTTGTTTTATGTATGTTTCTGTTTAAAGACTATTTATTATATATAGTCATCTCATTAACACTGAACTCATAGCCAACAACACTGTAACTCATACCTGAACAAAGCTTATCTAGTACAAACATTTTCTCTGTAAGGAATATCAGAACCTTCTTGTACTTTGGAACGTCAGACAGCGGTTCATCGCTATGCTTGTGCTTTGAAACACCAGACAGTACTTCATCATGAACTAACAAAAACATCAACCACAAAACTGTGACCTCAAAAAGGACAGTTTACATATGAAAGCTGAAACGAAGGCACGGTGTTGCCTTCTTTGACATTAGCTGGGAATGTACACATCTGGCTACTTACATTTTTTGCTGCTTTGTGTATTTACTTTGCAAATGACCAAAAAATTGCTTCAAGTATTAATTTTGGTGTTACAAATAAATTTTAATGAGTATGCAAATTTCTAAAGATAGAATCCACAAATAATGAAGACTGACTGTATGTATTCAGTTCCTGAAAGGAAAAGAACAGTATAGAAGTTTATAGTTTATATGACATAGAACTAATTTCAGGTTAGAAGCATTCCTCATTACTCGGTGAGTTAAGTTTTCAGATTATGAGCAGTAAAATTTTCAGATTCCTATTCCAGTTTTATGGATTTCTTGTTAGAGTAACTTTATATTTGGACTGTACAACTTTAGAAGTCTTTAGCATCATTGAGAAAAGTAAAAAGGGCTTTCACATTAGTAAATAAAATAATTTCAATACGAGTTTTTCATTAATAATTTGGTTATTTTACGCTTAAGTTTTTCTGTTCTTTTCCAAGCAGTCTTAATAATTTACTTCAGTGATCATTGTAATTCTTCCTTCCCACCCTTTATTCTAGTACGTATTTTTAAATTGCCACTTATGCCACTTATAACTCTCTAGATGCAAACAATCATCTATTTTTAAACTGTAATCATTTTTGTCAAATGATTTGTCAAGACTGGTACTTCAGTCTTTTAAAAACAGCTGTTTCAGCCGGGCGCGGTGGCTCAAGCCTGTAATCCCAGCACTTTGGGAGGCCGAAACGGGTGGATCACGAGGTCAAGAGATCGAGACCATCCTGGCTAACCCGCTGAAACCCTGTCTCTACTAAAAAATACAAAAAACTAGCCGGGCAAGGTGGCAGGCGCCTGTAGTCCCAGCTACTCAGGAGACTGAGGCAGGAGAATGTCGTAAACCTGGGAGGCGGAGCTTGCAGTGAGCTGAGATCCGGCCACTGCACTCCAGCCTGGGCGACAGAGCGAGACTCCGTCTCGGGAAAAAAAAAAAAAAAAGAAGGCAGCTATTTCAAATTCTGTTAATGATTTTCGTTTTATTGTTCAGACAAAACCATTTAAGAAATAATATTTGGGGGCCAGGTGCGGTGGCTCACACCTGTAATCCCAGCACTTTGGGAGGCTGCGGCGTGTGGATCATGAGGTCAGGGGTTCGAGACCAGCCTGACCAACATGGTGAAACCCCATCTCTACTAATAATACAAAAAATTAGCCGGGCATGGTGGCGCGCACCTGTAATCCCAGCTACTCAGGGGGCTGAGGCGGGAGAATCGCTTGAACTGGGGAGGCAGAGGTTGCAGTGAGCCGAGGTCGCGCCATTGCACTCCAGCCTGGGCGACAGAGTGAGACTCCCATCTCAAAAAAAAAAAAAGAATTTTGGGGAGCCCATAACTTCCTTGGTTTAGTTTCCCTGCTTAATTGTTGGAGATAATCTTATAAGAACCTGAAAATTGTTTAAAAAGTATCTATTACATTTCTTAGAAGAAAGCAACATGTGTAATTATTTTATTAAATTGGTAAGACTTGTAGTCTATCAGGTTCTTGATATGATATTTCTTAGAGCATTTGCTGCTATCATTATTGAAGTGGAAATATTTAAAAAACACAAAGTATGGAAATACAAGAAATGGACTTTACTGGAAACTTACAGTATTTAAGAAGTATGTGCCAGCCATTAGGTAAATGTCCACTATAAGTAAAAAGCATCCACAGTTACTGACTTGTAAGGACTTTCTTTCCAGCACAATATTTGTTATATATTGCCACGTCAAGCACCAAATTCCCAAGGTGAAAGTTCAAATGGCCTAAACTTTAAGATTGTTTTGGAATTCTCTTGACTATGGAACATGTGTCAGTGGTTAAAAATGAGTTACTAGCATCTTCTCACAACTTAGAAACATATCAAATTACCCTATTTTAAACAAAACTTTTCTCTAATTATGTTCTTCCTTTACATCACTTGCCCATCTCCTCTTTTTAAACCTCCAAACCTCAAGAAAGAATAATCTCTCTTTGTCTCTCTTACTCTCTTATCCTGTCTTCTCTACTCATATTTTGTCATTTGCCTTCATTGTTTTCCAAAAATGTCCTGTTGAAGTCCTCAAGTCCAATGATACCGGGCTTCATTATCCTATTTATATTATTTGACACAACTCATTACTCCTTTATTCTTAAAACTGTCCTATTTGGTTTCTGTCTCTTGATTATTGCTTTACTTATCTGATTACATTTTCTGGCTCGTCCTCTTTTTTTTTTTTTTTTAATGTATGTGTTTTATGAGGATCTGTCTGGGATCAACTTCTTCACTCACTCAATCTTCTTTGGCCGTCTCATCATCTGTGTAAGTGACTCTTAAATCAGCAACCTGAGTTTTTTTCAAGACTCAGGTCCTACTTCAAATGCTAAAGAGAAGTTTTATACTTTTATGTTCTGTGAATATAATCTTGAGATAATATTTCCCAGATCTAGTCTTTCTTGACATGTAGAGCCTATATAAGTGTTAAATAAATCTGAATGACATTTCTTATACCTAAAAGCATGGTTTATATTTGACTGTTGTCTTGTCCTTACACCTTGTTGCAAAGTACAGATAATTCTGTCCTTTGATATCATTATATAATTTTTATTCATACTTTCTTGACCATTCTTATTGCTGCAATCATCATTAGCTCTCACCAAGACTGTTGTGAATCTTTTTTATTGTTGGTAAATTTCCGTAATTACAGTTATGATCATGTCATTCCTCTGTTCAAAAAATATTTAGGAGGTTTATACTTGTAAAAATAACTGCACATATTTTACAGCCTGGTGTTTGAGTCCCTCTAATATTTTAACCCGAATATACACTTAAAAATCTTGTGGAGCACACTCTCCTTTACATAACCTCATTTCATGTAGCTGAACAGCTTTTTTCCTTTTATGTGCCTTGTACTTTGCTGCCTTTAATTTTCTCCTTACTCTCCCATTTCCACACATCCAACCTAACCCTTCCTTCAAGTCAGCGCTCAGACACAACCTTCTTTACAAAACTCGCTCTGATTCTTTTAGCTGGAAGAAGTCTTTGATTTCCTGTGGATTTTATCTGCAGTCCTCTGATACATACAAGACTATGCTTTGTGCTTTGCTACATGTACTTTATTTCTTGAGTTGAGGCTCTTTAAATGCACTATTGTATCTGGGAGGCGGCTGTTATGTACTTGAACAGAAAGTACATTTGCAAAAATTTAATAAAACTATGAATTTTAACATAATAATTGCTTAGATATTTTAGAACTTGGAATTCAGTTCACGAAAAATTTACTCTGTACTTCTGTGTGCTGTACATTGTTCTAAGTTCTGGAAATACAAAGATGAGTAAGTCATGGTTGTAGCCCAAAGAAGCTAACAATCTCTTAGGAGAACAGAAAATGGAGTTGTATCAATAATACAATGAGATACACAAAGTAATTGAACTATTTACATGGAATTAATGGTAGTTTTGAGGATACTTTGTACTAAAAAAAAGCTACTAAAAGTGAATTTACTTAAGCTGCAGACTAAAATTAATTTCATAGTCAGTAGTGAATAAAAGCTTTGATTGGAACTTTATCTTGGGGGGGAACTTTGTAGTATTAGACACCATCTGTTTTTTTCCTGTGTTTAACCAATTATATACAGTATTTGCTTTTTGGGGGGTACATTTTTTTCAGATAAAATTGTATTACCCTATTCTTTACTTCCCATTTCACTTTTGTAATACCGGTCAAAAGGATAATCATCTTTGCAGAAAAACATTTGAAGACTTCCTCAGTTCCCAGTAGTGCTTTTTGTACTTAATTATTCACATGATTCTCTTGAAGTTCGTGTGTGTGTGTCATCATTCCTGCCAGTTTTCTCTTCTTCAGTTATTATTTGTGTTAGTGGAGTTGCCTATGATTTCCCAGTTATCTAACATCACTTTGATGACTTTTTGAAAACCTGCTACTTGTGTGATGATTCAAGGTTTGATACTGCAGTTAACTTGTATTGCATTGTTGCATCCTGAATGATTAGTCAGCGAGGGACGAAAACCTGTACTTGATTGGGATTTTAATGAATGACCTGTTCATTTGTGAATACGCTTATGATATGTGGATTTTTACTTAACCAGTTTGTAATTGGGTATTTTCATAATAAATAATTCTATAACAGAGACTCTTCTCTGTGGGACTGAGGGCAGGGTGAGTTAACATTAACTTTGTTTTGTTGAATACAAGGGTAGATAATTGTTTCTGTGAAAACTAGACTGCTTTTTCCCCTTCCCTCCCCACAGCTAATTTTTACCCCCCGCCCCAAGATGGAGTCTTGCTCTGTCGCCCAGGCTGGAGTGCAGTGGCGCAATCTCAGCTCAGTGTAACCTCCGCCTCCCGGGTTCAAGCATTTCTCCTGCTTCAGCCTCCCAAGTAGCTGGTATTACAGGCACCTGCCACCACACCTGGCTAATTTTTGTATTTTCAGTAGAGACAGGGCTTCACCATGTTGGCCAGGCTGGTCTCAAACTCCTGACCTCAGGTGATCCACTTGCCTTGGCCTCCCAAAATGGCTGAGGCGTGAGCCACTGCGCCCGGCCTCTGTGTGTGTGTGTGTGTGTGTGTCTGTCTGTGTGTGTGTGTTTTAAACTTTAGGTTCAGGGGTATATGTACAGGTTTGTTATATAGGTAAATTGTTGAGTCACAGGGGTTTGGTGTACAGATTATTTCATCATCCAGGTAATAAGCGTAGTACCCAAAAGGTAGTTTTTCCATCTTCACCCTCCTCCTACCCTCCACCCTCAAGAAGGCTTTGGTGTCTGTTGTTCTTTTTTTTGTGTTCATGTGTACTCAATGTTTAGCTCCCACTTACAAGTGAGAATAGCAGTAGTTGGTTTTCTGTTCCTTTATTCACTAAAGATAATGGCCTCCAGCTCCATCCATGTTGCTGCAAAAAGCACATGTAGTATTCCATGGTGTATCTGTATCACAGTTTCTTTATCCAGTCTACGGTTGATGGACGTTTAGATTGATTCTATGTCTTTGCTGTTGTGAATAGGGCTGCAGTGAACATATACATACATACATGTACCTTCATGGTAGAAATGATTTATAGTCCTTTGGGTATATACCCAGTAACAGGATTGCTATGTCAAATGGTAGTCCTGTTTTCAGTTTTTTGAGAAATCACCAAACTGCTTTGCACAATGGCTAAACTAATTTACGTTCCCACCAGCAGTGTATTAGTGTTACCCTTTCTCCACAGTCTCACCACCATCTGTTATTTTTTGGCTTTCTATTAATAGCCATTCTGACTGATATGAGATGGTATCTCATGGTTTTGATTTGCATTTCCCTAATGATTAATGATATTGAACATTTTTTCATATGCTTGTTGGCTGTGTGTATATCTTCTTTTGAAAACTGTCTGTTTATGTCCTTTGCCCACTTTTTAATGGAGTTGTTTGGTTTTTGTTTGTTAATTTATTTAAGTTTCTTATAGATTCTGGATATTAGACTTTTGTTGGATGCATAGTTTGCAAAAATTTTCTCCCATTCTGTTGTTTTTCTGTTTACTCTGTTGATGGTTTGTTTCTTTTGCTGTATAGAAGCTCTTTAGTTTAGACTACTTCTCTAAAAGTAGATGTTTGGTATTTTGATAAACTGAAATTTAAATGAAATGAAAGAAGATATATAGAATAAGGATTTAAAGATAAGAGCAAGATGTTATGACCAAGATTTTTGGGGAAGATAAGCAAAGTAAATGATCATTCTGGATGAAGAAATTGTTACAACAGTAAGAAACACACCATACTGTATTTAACTGGTGGAGCATAAGGTGTAATCATGAAGGTCTTTGTAGGTCATATAGAAAAGTTTGAACTTTTCCCTATGCAATAGTCTCTCCTATCTGTGATCTAGCTTTTCCAGAGTAAGATATTTTAAGAACAAGGGAGACCACATTCACATAACATTTATTATAGTATATTGTTATACTTGTTCTATCTTATTATTAGTTATTGTTAATTTATTGCTGTGCCTAATTTATAAATTAAACTTTATCATAGGTATATATGTATAGAAAAACACATATATAGGATTTGGTGCTATCTTCAGTTTCAGGCATCCACTGTGGGTCTTGGAATGTATCCTTCACTGATAAGGGGAAACTCCTGTCTTTCAGAAAAACTTCTGGTCATCTGTGTGCCAGGTTTTGTGTTAGGCTTAGAGAGGTAAAGGTAATTCTTTTCTTCAAGGAACAAGTACCGATGGGTAAGACAAACATTTAAACCAGTCATTTTAATACTTTATACTAAATGCTGTGCTGGAGATAAGTACAGAATGCTAAGAGCACAGAGGTGAGTGCTGGATACAGATTACACACTGCTTTCTGTCTGATGTATAAGCTGTCTTTAAGGGTAAGTAGGAGTTAGCTAGGAGAGTAGGGGTGGGTAGTTTAGGAGAGGGGAGTAGTATGAGTTAAGCAGGCACATGGATAGTAATCAGCCTGGTTTAAGTATAGAAGTCAAAGTAATTTGGTGTTTCTGAAATGGATTAGTAATTCTTACCTTCAGAGTTGTGCTTTTTAATTCTTTATTAAAAGACAGGATCTTGCTATGTCTGTCTTAGCCTCCTGAGTAGTTGGGACTACAGGTGTCTACCACCGTGCCCAGCTAGAGTTGTGCATTTTAATATGAATAGTTTTTTTCAGTGATAGAACTAAAATGTATAAATTGGACAGTTTTATCTTGCCCAGTAAATGAAAGAGAGACATATGAGATTGTGTTTAAACCTTAATTTTTGTATCTTACTTAAGTTAGGGCAGATTTATATTTACTAGTGTTTTTCTGTTTTAAAGGTATGTTTTTTTCCTAACACATCTAACTGGTACTTATTAAGGTCCAGATGAATAGTGCAGCTTTGAAATGAACTTTAGTCACAACATCTCACTCTTGTGAGCAGTGAAGCAATTATCGTAGATAAACTTGCTACTATTTACTCTTTACTTAAAATAGCAAATTTTATATCTGAAGTCGTTACTCTTTGCTGCCATTTGAATAATACCTGGAATAATTGTGTCTTTACAGGATGAATGCTATCAAGTAAGACAAGTGTTTGCCCAGAAACTTCACAAAGGCCTTTCCCGTTTACGGCTTCCACTTGAGTATATGGCAATCTGTGCCCTTTGTGCAAAAGATCCTGTAAAGGAGAGAAGAGCTCATGCTAGGCAATGTTTGGTGAAAAATATAAATGTAAGGCGGGAGTATTTGAAGCAGCATGCAGCTGTTAGTGGTAAGCATATAAGAAAATGAAAAGGATACTTTTTCAGCCTACTAGTTTCAGTTTTATAGAATACAACATGATATTACTGTTATTTATTATTTGTAATTGACACTCATTAAGATATTACCATTTTTCGATAACTGCTTTTCATTTAATATAAAGGTCATTTAAAAAATATAAATGCATGGTACTTAAATATCAACCTTTATCTCTTTATGTGAAGGACTAAATGGCCAAGGAAAATAAACAATGACATTAGAGGTACTTTTAACAGAATAGTAAAATTTATACGTTTATATAGATTGTCTAAACATTATCTTATTTTAGTTGAAAAAAAGTACAAGTCTTTGATCTTTGTTGTTTGTTCTCACCTGTAGCTGACATTAATATCAGGTGTTTGCGTGCCTACTTTTCATTTGCTCACTTTACCCCATTGAGGTTAGTTGGTGTGCCTCTTGACTTCTATGATTTGTTTAACAATCAGCATTAAAATCCATCCCATTATCTCAGTTAGAAATCAGAGGCATTATTCATACCGTTTTTCCCTCCTCTCATCCGTGAGCAAATTCTGTTAATTCTTTCTCCAAATGTCTTGAACATTTATCTTCTACTCTCCTACCTTGCTATATTTTCACTTGGATTGTTGTATACATCGCCTCCCTGTAGTAATTGTTCCTGTGCCTCTGACCCACTGCCTGCTGTATCACATTGTTATCAAAATTATCCTTCTAAAACAGGTTAGATCACATCAGTCCCTTACTTGAAATTTCTGTTGATTCTCTGTTGCTCGTGGGATAAAGTTGAAACACCTTATCATAGCCCTTTATAGTTTGCTCTCAACCTGAGTTTCAAGCTTTCTTTCTGCTCCCTATTATGAACTCTGTGTTTCATTTACTTTCGATTACTTGAAATTTGTGTAACAGTCTTTTTTCTCTGTTGTTAACTCTATCTGGAAATCGCCTCCCATTTCCAGACAAACAGTGAACAAAACCAAGGAACATTGTTGACACCTTTTGAATGCTTCAAAATAGAGTTTTGTGGCTACCACATCACTGTGACCCTCTTTCTTTTTCTTCCTTCCTTACGTTGGAAAATGTGAGAGTTCTGCAATCACAGCCCACCTCTGCCATTTACTGGTCGTATTTTGGCAGATTACTTAATCATTCGTGCCCTAGTTTCCTTATTTGCAAAATTGATATAATTATACTGATTGCTTATGGTTGTTATGAGAATTAAAAAATTATATGCAGTGCCTGGCATAATATATGGCCCAAAGAAGTGCTCAGTATGTTAGCCATTCTTCTTTTGGTGCACCTTTCACATTGAAGTGTAGCTTCCGTCTCTGATTATGCTTTAGTGTGAGCTCTTTACCTAGTCTTACTCATCTTTATATTTTTAGATTCTAATATAGGCCTGGAACATAGTAAACACTGAATAAATATTTGGTAGAATTTAATTTTAATTTCACCAGATTTTAAACTGTGTTACTTTTTTCTTTCCACATTGGCCTTGAAATGAATGATGTTACATACAAACTATTCTCTGTAGATTTAGAAATAGAAATAAAGGAAATTTGATGCTTTGTTGACACATATACACGAGGTTAAAACATCTAATTTATATTTTTATTTGGAAAATAGGAAATATAAATAAATGGAAATTGTCCAGAATATGAGTCCCAGTCTGTGTGTACCCTTTATTAAACCAATTAGGTTTACCATTCTGACCTCTCTAACAGAATGTGCTTATCTCAGCCAACATACAAAAATAATTGAATTTAAACTAAATAGCTGTTGAAACTCTTAAGTCTGTTCCTTTATTCTCTTCTTCTGTTACAAGTAGTGTCAGCCTCTTGTTGTTCCATACTGACTCTGAAAAATACTAGATGTTACTCATTTTGCTCAGCAGCTTAAAGAGAGTGTTAAACATAGGGTCACTTCTAATAGGAAAAATAGATGTTTTGTCTCTCACTCTTGAATATAGTTTGTTTGGGTCACTTTTTCCTTACGTATTTTAAAATTGAAATATTTGTTTCTGTAGCCTCAGCCCATGATTTATTTAGTAGGCCGTTTCAGTATTGAACATGGTAGATGAATGAATAGACTGTTTATCGTGTACCTCAACACAGGGTATTTCAATATATTTTTCTTCAAGTCATTGTGGTAAACTGTTGGGATGCAGAAAATATAGTATGAAAGAAAGAGTGTGTAAGATTTGGTTTTCTAACCTGGATATTTTTGTGTTTTTTTTTTGTTTTTTTCTTTTTCTTTTTCTTTTTTCTTTTCTTTTTTTTTTCTTTTTCAGAAAAATTATTGTCTCTTCTACCAGAATATGTTGTTCCATATACAATTCACCTTTTGGCACATGACCCAGATTATGTCAAAGTACAGGATATTGAACAACTTAAAGATGTTAAAGAGTAAGACTTTTTCCATCCCATTTTCATATTTTCTGAAAGTTATTTTTTTCTCCTTAATGCTGATAATTGGATCTCAATTGTAATTAGTTTATTGATGTATTTCATTTATTAGGCGTTTAAGGTTCTTTATTTGCTCTCTTGTCTTTCTTTTTTCATACCATCTCTTTATATTACATTTTTAATGTAGTTTTCCAAAACTTAATCATAATTATTATAGTTATGTTTCTTTACCAGTCTGGTGTTCCTTTTCTATTGAAGTAATTCATTAAAATTTCCATTCCATTTCTTATCTTTTCCTTCTTCCTTCTGAAACTGTGTAGATTTTCATGTGAGGTCAGTTAATAATCTCTCTTTTATTCATGTAGTAAGCACATTTTTCTGTGCAATAACTATCTTCCTCTGTAGAAAGAGAATGGTCTGATTTAACAATGGGCCAGATTCATAACTGGGGAACTACTTCCACTTATTACTTAATTGGTAATTCTCTAACTAGAGTTTAAAATATTTGTAATTCTTTCAAAGATTATTGCTTGAAGACTGAAAACACTGTACGTGCCTAGATGGGGAATAGGAATATAATGATATTTAGAGAAGTCTTTTTAAGACCAGCATAATTCTTTAAATAAGCTCGAGACCCTAGTCCTCTTTCAGTTACAATAAAAGATTACCATTGGGATTTTTAATCAACTAATTTATGATGCCTTTAGTTTCCTGTTATGTTAAAATAATTCTTAATGTCTTAATGTATGGAAATATTTCATAGTTAAATAATTTGAGAAGCTTCAGGAGAATAAAATCAAATTACTGATAAATTCTCATGGCAAAGGAAAAAATGCCCTTTTTTCCCACTGCAGTTTTCTTTTTTAAAAAATAAGAAATTAGGTTGGCTGGTCATGGTGGCTCATGCGTGTAAACAGGTCTCAGCACTTTGGGAGGCTGAGGTGGGTGGATCAGCTGAGGTCAGGAGTTCCAGAACAGCCTGGGCAACATGGCAAAACCCCATCTCTACTAAAAATACAACAAAATTAGCCAGATGTGGTGGTGCATGCCTGTAGTCCCAGCTACTTGGGAGGCTGAGGCAGGAGAACTACTTGAACCTGGGCAGTGGAGGTTGGCAGTGAGCCAAGATCGTGCCACTGCACTCCAGCCTGAGCAACAGAGTGAGACTCCGTCTCTATTTAAAAAAAAAAAAAAAAAAAATTAGTTCTATCAAAATTAGTTCTATGTTAGAGTGATTAAAACTGTTGAAAACATCTAGCCACCTCTTTCTGAGAACACTGGGTTTTTAAAAATAAATAAAACATCCTTTGGAATTTACTAGACATTTACGGTTGTATTTCTAAGTTGCCTCAGTGTAGCCATGTGTGATCTCCGTTCTATCAGGGAGCCGCTTCAGAAGAACTTATCCTATACCTAAGTTCCTAAAGGTTATTTTTTTCTGTTCTAGTATAATACCTTGCTTCACATTTCTCTCTTCCTTTTCCCATTACTTTTCTCCTCTATGTATCAACTATAACTTTGTTCCTTTCTCTCTGTATAATACATAGGCAAAACACTTTTCATTTTTTATTGAATGGAGTTTTATGTAATTAACTTTAAAACTGAGCTACTGAAGCTTTCTTTTAATTTTTCCCTTTTTAAGCAAAGACAATGCTTATAGTTGTCTATTGTGACTTGTTCTCTCTATTAATGAGTATTCTTAACTGTTTTTATATTTAATAAGGCAGTTATATTCTCTTGAAGAGTTCCCATCAGGACTGTAGTCAGTCTTGAGTATCTGAGGCCTCACTTGATCCATGGCCCCACTATTCCTTTGACAGTCTTTAACTCCCTGCCATAGCTGAGGGTTAAGATGACTTCATCCTTTCTGCCATTTATGTTTCCTCTTTAACCTGCCTCCTTGGAAATCTAGTGAGATTTTAAGAAGGGATCTTACAAGCTCATGTCTGCATTGTTGACCTGTTTATATGTTTGTGTGACATATTCTTTTTTCTTGCTGATTTGTAACTGTTTCTTTCTTTTTTCTTCCTGGAGTTACATAATCTAGGTTTGTTACATTTATATTTAGAATTATTGTATCTATATTTAACAAAGGATTATTTTCTTCTATATTTTTTTTTCCTTTTTTTTTTTTTCTTTTTTAGATGTCTTTGGTTTGTTCTGGAAATATTAATGGCTAAAAATGAAAATAACAGTCATGCATTTATCAGAAAGATGGTAGAAAATATTAAACAAACAAAAGATGCCCAAGGACCAGATGATGCAAAAATGAATGAAGTATGTAATTCTTTGTAAATAATTATGGTTCCATATTGATTTAAAAATTTAGGTGTAAGGTATGAAACTTTTGTAGTATTTATAGACAGCATCAAATAATTTTTTCTATTAGTAATTAGAATTACTGACATGCAATTAGCAGTAATTTTATTACAAGTAAATGAGCAAAACCAGTAGTGTAAACTAAAATGCTTACACAGACTATTGCTTTCATTAGTTTACTGTTCAGACTGGATTCATGTTCTGATATTATTGCTAGTTTACAGAGTCTAGATTGCCAGCTTAAGTATCTGTTTTTTAAAAATATACTGTTGCAGAAACTGTATACCGTGTGTGATGTTGCCATGAATATCATCATGTCAAAGAGTACTACATACAGTTTGGAATCTCCTAAAGACCCAGTACTACCAGCTCGTTTCTTCACTCAACCTGACAAGGTAGTTGCTTTACAATTTGTGTAAGTTGAAATAAAATGTATTCTGAGCACTGGGTTGTAGGAAGATAGGAAGCATCATGGAAAGATTGCTATGAGTCTTAAGAATGTGATTTAAGATCAGAACCAGAATATGAGTCAAACTGGAGGACACACATAAGGTTCAGATATTAGGATGATCTGGTGTTTATGTTCAGTTTTAAGGCAGTCTTAGAGCACAGGCAGAAATGTGGTCAAAGCATGTGAATTTGTGAATTAATGGCCATTGTTCAAAATGGGAAGGAGAGTGCTGATAGAGATACAGTCTGAAGTTAAAGCCCTTTATTGGGATTTGTAATTGGTATGAGGAAACAAACAGAGAACGGACACTGGAACATGCCTAAGACCCTGGGAATACTACAAGAGTGTTACCAAACCACTCTCCAAAAAACTTGAGTGTGATATGAGATGTAAAAAGTATTTCCCACAATCCCTCTTACTCCCTCATAATTTATTTAATTCCTCATAATTTAGCTGAACATATTGAGTAACAGAGTATGGAAATGACCACTATCCTCTTTTTGCTTTTAAAGCAAAGTGCCAGTTAAGACCTTACCAGGGTATAGAGATTTGGAACAGCCCTATAGGAGTGCTTAGTAGCTAAAAGGGCTGTCACGTTGAGGTGAGCAGAGTAATAGATGTATATGTGATCTTTCTCCTGAAGGGTGTTATTAAAGAAGCATGTGTTTTCTGATGCACTCTGAGAGCTCTAACATGTTAGAGCTCAAATATGTTTTGTTAATATTAGAGTTGGCATGAGGTTGGTTTAAGCTTATGACAGTAGTTAAAATCAGTGACTGAAATTTTGTGTTTCATATGATAATTTAGTTTAAATAAAAAAACTGCTGTTTGCTTTGTTGGCTTTTGAACCACCTCGTAGATAGTGTTTTAATATTCACTGACTTCTTTTTCTCTTGGTTGTAGAATTTCAGTAACACCAAAAATTATCTGCCTCCTGAAATGAAATCATTTTTCACTCCTGGAAAAGTATGTTTTGAGAATCATTTTAATTTTTATGTGGCAGCTTATTTTAGTGTGATTATTGGCAAAATTGTGTTATATTGTATTGCTTCAAAAATTTGTATTTTCAAGCTAGAAAAATATAAGTATTAACTGTCTTCCATTTACTAGTAAGAAATAATTATATTTACTAAATATATGCAAGCTGAAATACACAGACTTACTTTTTAGCTTGTAATTAAGTCCCAGGAGACCTGATTCTTAGACTTCTTAGATTAATATCAAGATAAAAAATCTTTAAAAAAGCATATTCTTATGTCTTTCCATGGCAAGGGTCTAATTATCTATTTTCATTGTTGATTATTTATTTCATTTGTTCTCACTTTTTATGTAAGCCATTTTCTCCAAATAACTAAGAAATTCAACTGTTATGCTGTCTGTATAGTTTTTAATTTGTTCAAGTAATATTTAGTTTATACTTATTTTGCTTAAGGATAGACACATTTTTCATGATTTGTAAGTAAATACCTTGACAGAGATGTTATTTATGGTTTTTTACATGTAACTTTCTTTTGGCTTTAATCAAATAAAAAGATGTGCATTTCTCATTTCAGCCTAAAACAACCAATGTTCTAGGAGCTGTTAACAAGCCGCTTTCATCAGCAGGCAAACAATCTCAGACCAAATCATCACGAATGGAAACTGTAAGCAATGCAAGCAGCAGCTCAAATCCAAGCTCTCCTGGAAGAATAAAGGGGAGGTAAGTGCAGAAGAAATGCCACAATTTACATTTAAGGATTCCAGCAAGGCTATGAGATCTGAAATAATATAATCCAAAATGTTTCATATCAGTAAATGGAAAGTAATGTATTACTTACTTTTTCCATTTAACATTGGTAGTCACAAGTTCATGCTTACTTGCTTTCTCATTTTGGATGGGTGCTACATCTTAGCCTTTCATTGTTTAGTTTGTTGAGGGTAATCTGTGTTAGTACACATAAACTAGTTTCCAACCTCAGTGTGTAGCAATTCTAAAACTGTTACATTATGGTGTATCATACAATGGGATACATAGTCATTAAACATGATGAGGTCTGAGTTAGTATGGAAGAGTTTCCACAATACATTATTGAGTGAAAAAGGCAAAGTATATAAAACAGCATTATGGAATCTTTAAGTATTGAAAGCAGATTTATGTTCACATTTGTTTTTATATGCATAGAAATTTTTTTGAAGAGTATACAAAATCTTAACAGTGTTTATGTTAACCTAGTATAGAAGGGAGGCTATTTTATACTTTTTGGTATCATTTGAATATCTTTGTTTAGTACCATGTACATGTATAAACCTTTTTGTTTGTTTTAAAAGTGTGTTTTTGCTTTTTGGGTTTTTAAAATTCAACTTTTATTTTAGATACGTTGGGTACATGTGCAGGTTTGTTACATGGGTATATTGCATCCAGGTAGTGAGTATAGTACCCAATAGGTAGTTTTTCAGCCCATATCCTCCTTTCTCCAGCTCCCCCAGTAGTCTGCATCGTCTGTTGTTCCATGTGTATGCCCATGTGTGCTCGATGTTCCCTCCCATTTATAAGCGAGAACATGTAGTATTTGGTTTGCTGTTCCTGTGTTAATTTGCTCAGGACTATGGCCTCCTTGCTGTGAAGTACATGATTTCATCCTTTTTTATGGCTGTGTAGTATTCCATGGTATATATGAACTTCATTTTCTTTATCCAGTTCATTATTGATGGGCATCTAGGTTGATTCCATATCTTTGATATTGTGAATAGTGCTGCATTAAACAGATGAGTGCATGTTCCTTTCTGTTATAACGATCTATTTGCATTTGGATATACAACCAGTAATAGGATTGCTAGATCAAATGGTAGTTCTGTTTTAGGTTCTTTGAGGAAGCTCCAAACTGTTTTCCACAGTGGCTGAACTAATTCACATTCCCACCAACAACGTATAAGTGTTCTATTTTCTCTTCTGCCTCACCAGCATCTGTTGTTTTTTAACTTTTTAGTAATAGCCATTCTGACTGATGTGAGATGGTATCTCATTGTAGTTTTGATTTGCATTTCTCTGATGATTAGTGATGATGAGCATTTTTTTATGGTTGGCCATTTGTCTTCTTTTGAGAAGTGTCTCTTCATGTCCTTTGCTCATTAAAAAATGTTTTAAAAATGATTCTTGTTTTGAGAAAAATAAAAGGAAAATTAATTCATCCTTTCACTAGTTTTAGCATAAGTGCTTAGGGCACCATTCGTTAGCACAGAGCATTGTATAGGGCTAACCTGCCACTATTTATTGATTTTTGCAAAGTTATTATTAAAAGACTATACTGTATTTTTCATTGTTGATAACCAATCAGTAAAGAAGGTAGGTGACATTCTAAAAATCTTACCACCACATTTCTTACAGTGAATAAATTTTTGAATGATATGTAGTATGATAGAAATGAAAGAAATTGCATTTATAGCTTTTGTTTGTTCTAGATTCCTGTATTAATGCATGTTAGTGGCTGATACCTAAGTAACCGTTTAGTTATATCAGTTGGACGTTTTCTACCAAGTGGCCTCATATTTAACATGACCAGAAACATTTCCATCAACTCATTTTCTAAATTACTGGTTTTTCTCCTTGAATTCCTCGTTATAATCAAAGATGATCTAATTCACTTAGTCATCTAGGCAAAAAGCCTCAAAATTGTGTTTGACTCTTCCCACCTCTATATTTGTTCAGTTGCTAAGTTTTACTAACTTTTTTCTAAGCAATGTTTTGTACTTCTCTTTTTACTGTCATCATTTAGTTCATTTTCTTTCTTTAATTATTGTTGTATTTGACTAGTTTACTTCCTTATTCCTCTCAACTGTGTATGTTGTATCACTGCTAGATAATCCTTTAAAAATACTGCTGTTGTGATGTTATTTCATTGCTCAGAGATCTTAATTGACTTCCCTTGTTTACTTTCAAGATAAGTATAATTTCACCCTCTCCTTATCATCCATTTGTTACTCAACACAAAAGTGTCGTAATTTATATTTTTTCAATATAGTTTTCTTTAAACTTTCTTTCAACTTGTGACCAATCTGTTTTGTTATTTTTTTTCTTCCAAATTCCATCTGTTTAGTGGGACTGTTTCCAGGGGAATGAAGTAGGTATATTTGAGAAACCTGTTTGGTTGGAGAGTAGGAATGAGGGAAAAATTATGAGAGGAAGTTAAGAGGTAGCCTGATTATGTTTGGACTTTGTGAACCACGGTAAGGAATCTGGATTTGATTTTAAGTGCAACTGAAAGGGTTGCCAGGGAGTCTAGCAATCTAATTTGTGTGTGTGTTTTTTTTTTTTTTTAAATTGCCTTGATGATTTGTGCAGAATGTACTATAGAGGAGCTAGAATTGAGGTAGAAAAACCAGTCAGGAGTCAGCGAATCATAATCTATGGCAGGGATGAAGAGGGAAAAAGATGGTAAATAGTCAAATTTCAGATTTTTTTTTTTTTAAAGAGTAGTCAAGTGCAGTAGTGAGAAGGGAGGAGTGAGTTAAAACAAGGAGTTTGATGTGTAACTAACTATGAACAATCAGTTGAGAATAACTCACTACCTTTAGACCACTCTAAGATTTATTTAGATGTTAGATGCAGATGATCTTTCTGATGGATTGGATGTGAACAGCTAGGGAAAGGGAGGATTTAAGGGTGTTTCCTGGGCTTTTTACCTGAATAACTGGAAAGATGGTGGTACCATTTACTGAGATACAGAAGCTTTGAGGAAGAACAGGCTCTGTTTGTATGTGTGTGTTTTGGGGAAGTGGGAATAAGAAGAGTGTTCAAATGACTGTTTAGGTTACATTAAAGATCAGGTGCCTATTAGAGTTTCAAGTGAAGTGTTGAGTAGACAATTGGATATGTGAGTTTAGAACTCAGTGCAGCTGGACCAGAGATTGAGATTCAGGGTTCAACAACGTATAAATAGTTTTAAAAACTAGATAAAGATGAGACCACCCAGGACAGAAGCCTGGACCTTTATATGAATGCCTACTCTATGCTTGGCGCTGATTTAAGTGCTTGGCATACATTGGTAAGTAAAATTGATTGACAAAAGATTCATGCTTATATTCTAGCAGAGGAAGGTAGTCAGTAAGTAATAGATGTAATAATTATGGTGTGTTAGAGGGTGTTAAATGCTACAGAGAGAAGAAAAAATAGAATAGGGTAAGGAACTGGGGCAGGTTGCAGTGTGTAGACCAAGCTAACCTGCCAACAAGAAAAGTTTTAATTGGTTCTATGATCTGACCCCAAAATAGAATTTAGGTTTTAAAAAGAAAAAACTAGATTTAAATTTTTGATTTTTTAAATTTCTTCACTATATTGAATTAAATGAGCTTCATTGCTTGTTGAGTTAGTATCAAATATGGTAGAATAAAACTGGTTCATTTTTGAAAAGAATGAAATTTTTTTCCCATGAATCTGTAAAGCTATACTAGGAACAGAAAAAGCTTTTAAGGTTATTTGATTGTAATAACAATTACAAATATCTGTATTAAAAGGCTTGATAGTTCTGAAATGGATCACAGTGAAAATGAAGATTACACAATGTCTTCACCTTTGCCGGGGAAAAAAAGTGACAAACGAGACGACTCTGATCTTGTAAGGGTGAGATATTTGCATTGATTTTATAATAATATTAATAATAATTTTACTTAGTAAATAGTAATGTTTACACTGAAACCAGTTAACATGACTATCAAATTTATATTTTCATTTTATTTTAGTGGCTTTAATCACAAACCTGAGTTTATAATTATCCTCTATGTAATTTAAGTATATAGAATCTGTGCTCCTTATGAATGTGATGAGTAATCTCAATTGTTCAGGTTTTTGGTATTAGACTTGCCAGTTGCATACTCAACTGCTTGGTTTTTGTATTGTTTTGTTTTCCTCATTTGCTTGGGGTTTTGTTGGTGGTGGTGGTGGTGTTAACATAGGATATTTAGACTTAGCCTTAGAGAAGGGGAATGGAATGAGGATCCTTAAAGGTTCTTTTGTTTAATTTATTTCTTGAGCCTTTTACTAATTGAGCTGCTATTAAAGGTAGAAAATGCTATAGTTCTCAAGTTCTTGTTCAGTTTTTAAATCTTAATAGAAATAATAAAATGATAACTTGTATGATAGTTGTGTTATTTTAAGACAAATTTGCTGAATTTTTAGTATAGACACAAAATACAGTTATGTCTTCTAACACAACTCTGGACTTAACTGGGTTTGTTTTGACTTTACAGTTCAGCTTCAGATCATTTTCTTAATAACTGATTAGGCTATCAGAATCAATTTTCTTATCTGTATGTAAATTATGGATACTTAGCTGGTAAACTTTATCAGAGTAAGTGACTTAGCCCAAATGAATTGTTGCTGCTGTTTCATTGTTACGACTTTTGATTATGGTTATCATAATAATAAAAGTTAAAATGTTTGAGTCTACTTGATTAATAGAGGTGAGAGGTTATCCGAAAAATAATTACTTTTGCTTTCTCTAAAATATTACTGTCCATCTTGTCTTCTACTGGTCCAACATTACACATGCCAAGAAGTTTATTTTCATGTTTCTCCAGTAACTTATTTTGGCAGAGTGTTTTTCTATTTAGAAAGAATTATTCTTTTTTTTTTTTTTTTTTTTGAGATGCAGTCTCACTTTGTCGCCCAGGCTGGAGTGCAGTGGCGCGATCTGGGCTCACTGCAACCTCCGCCTCCCGGGTTCAGGTGATTCTCTTTCCTCGGCCTCCTGGGTAACTGGGACCACAGTTGTGTGCCAGCATGCATGGCCAATTTTTGTATTTTTAAAGGCGGGCTTTCACCATGTTGGCCAGGCTGGTCGCAAACACCTGACATCAGGTGATCCACCCGCCTTGGCCTCCCAAAGTGCTGGGATTACAGGCTTGAGCCACACCACCCGGCCGAGAAAGAATTATCTAAAATTTTACTGAATTCTCACTATATTTACTGTAAGTTATGATGTTTATTGGTGCTTTAAAAATTTCACATGAGCAAAATTAAGAATTGATCATTTAGTTTGAAAAGAGTCTTGTTATCTGGATTTACAGAAGAAAATCCTTGAATTGGACAAGGTATTATGTCTTCTTAGTTCTCACTTAGTGCAGAAATTCCTTTATTAGTGATGAGAGCTGGTCACCATGTTGAGAATGCTTTAAGCAGAGAGCTCATGATGTATTTCATTTGTTGGAAAAGTCAACTAGGCCACTCATACCCACACCTATAGTGTACTACACTTATACCCTTAGTGTTCCCATCCCCTAAAAGTTGGGAAACATGGTTTTTATTAATTCTTAATATTCTGTTACCCTATAAATTTTATGTATACTTTTACCTTTTGGGATAGTACAGAGCAAAGTCTACTCTATTTTTCATAGAACAGTTTTGAATTTTTGAGCTCTTGAGATCTATTAGTATGATTGCAGTGGAGGCCTTTTGCTATTTGTTGTGGCATGGATAATGTGTAACGTTAGGTCCAGTTTTAGAGGTGCTAGGAGAATCTTATTAATAAGCTAGTTTTGACTAAAGTGCCCTCAGATGAGCATTATGAGACACAAATTGAATTTAAAGACCAGTGGATTATAATCAAAGAGCATGGTCTCATTTGCTTGTTACCAGCTTCACATTGAAATTTTATGGCAAAGGAATTATTTTCCATATACGTTTGTATTTAAATATTTAGCTTTATAAATAACATATTTTCCCTATCTTTTGCTTCTAACCTCAATTTTGTACTCCCTCTGTTCTTAAAACAGTCAATGCAAAATGAAAAAGAAATGAGAAGTAGTGGTGCTTTAGGAAACTAGATTAGTATTCTCAAGAAAGTAGACATTGGGTTTTCTTTTTACCACCAACCTTTTCCAAAGCATAAAGGAAATCATCTTCCTTTTTAGATCTTTGGACATCAAAAAGAATTGTAGCAATTAAAATAAGAAGTAACATTTTAAATTTAGTTCTGATTTAACATTTCTTTTACCTTCTCATCTTTGAGTAGCAGTTAATTTTTGATTTGTGCACAAAACTCTAAATAAAAAAAACAAACTAAATCCAGTCATGTATAGATCTTCCCGTCTCCTTAGAATATAAGGATAGCTTAATGTTACCAAATCTTTTAATATAATAATATATTAAATAAACCAAAGGGAAAACCAAAAACAAATAATTTCAGATCATGCCTAGAGGACATAAATAAAACTTAAAATCCGTTCTTGACAAATACGAACTTTTAGTAAACTAGTACCAGAAGGATACATCTTTAATGTACTAAAAATTTTGTCTATTTTAAATCAGTAGTCAATGCCATTCTTCCTAAAGGCAAAATACTTGAAGCATTCTTTTTAAAAATCAGAAACAAAACAACCTGCTGTCACCACTGTTTTTTAGAATTGCTCTAGAATGTTTGACGAATTGTTAGTTTTGTAATCTTAGAAAAATCAAGCAATTGAAAATCTATCCTTACCTGTGTATATATTTTTGTTTATAACTAACATTACTCTGATAATTTTGCTTTGTATCAGATGTACATTTAGGGGAAAAGGGATTATTTTCTTTATCACAAGAACCACTGCAACAACAAACTTTGATTGATTGATTGATTGACAGATTCATAGATTTAAATATAACCTTAAAAAGAAATAGGGAGTACCTACATGTGGAAAATCTCAAAACTGAGATAGGGAGGACCTATATGTAGAAAATCTCAAAACTGGAAGACTTGAAGAGAGAGAAGATAGGCCATGTTCCTGTTTAGGAAATAGGAGTAAAAAAGGATGACAGTTTTTTCCAAGTGAATATATAATTGTAAAATACCAGCATAATTTTGTTTCAAGTCTATGTGGAGGAATAAATAGATATAAAAGGAGGAGAAATATAGGTAGGTTCAGCCCTACCAGACACATAATTATACTTAGTAAAATACTGTGCTTCTGTTATGATAGCCCGTAAATATTCTTGTTCAAAACATACAAAATAAAGGAAGCACTACAAATCATTGATTCTGAAATGGTTGAATGTGTCTTTGGGAGTGGAGAATCCAGTTTAGAATCTCACCTCACATTCTATTCTAAAACAATATACAATAGTGTCTTAGTCAGCTCAAGCTGCCATTATAAAATACCACAGACTGGGTAGCTTAAACAACAGAAATGTATTTTCTTACAGTTCTGGAGGCTGGAAGTACAAGATCAAGGTGCCAGCAGATTTGGTTCCCGATGAGGGCTCTCTTCCTGGGTTACAGATGCCACCTTCTCCTGTGTCCTCACATGAGAAGTGTGGGGCGGGGGGAAGAAGAAAGGCACCCAAGCTCACTCACTGGTATTTCTTCTTCTAAGGACACTAATCTCATCTTGTGGGTCCCACCTCATGACCTCATCTCAACCAAATACTCCCAAAGGCCCTGTCTCCAAATAGGGTCACATTGGGATTAGAGCTTCAACATACTTTTTTTTTTTTTTGTTATGGGGGTCACAATTCAGTCCAAAGCAAATAAGAAATAACACTTAAAGGCCAGGTGCAGTGACGCCTGTAATGCCAGCACTTTGGGAGGCTGAGGCAGGTGGATCACTTCGGGTTAAGAGTTTGAGACCAGCCTGGCCAGCACAGCGAAATGCCATCTCTGCTAAAAATACAAAAATTAACTGGGGCATGGTGGCGCATGCTTGTAATCCCAGTTACTCTGGAGGCTGAGGCAGGTGGATCACTTCGGGTTAAGAGTTTGAGACCAGCCTGGCCAGCACAGCGAAATGCCATCTCTGCTAAAAATACAAAAATTAACTGCGCATGGTGGCACATGCCCTCTAGTCCCAGCTACTCAGGAGGCTGAGGCAGGAGAATCGCTTGATCCTGGGAGGCAGAGGTTGCAGTGAGCCAAGATCGCGCCATCGCACTCCAACCTGGGCAACAGAGCGAGACTTCGTCTCAAAAATAAAATAATAATAATAATAAAGAAATAACACTTAAAAGTAAGCATAGAGGCATACACAAAAGCATAGAAGAATATAGAGAAAACCCACTAACACCCCAGTAATCAAAGTTGGCAAAGGACACAATACCAAGGATGTAATTATGCCGTTCACACACAGGAAACTCAATTTAAAGTTAGAAAAAGTTACAGATAATTTGATAGTTTTTGTTGTTTTCTTTTCAGTGATGTTTGAAAATATAAATTGCTGCAGATTTTTGGAAATTGTAAGTGTTCATACATACAAATTATTGTTGGGTCTTTGGAGAATTTCTTCAGCCTTCACGCTGGTTCACATATAGATTCTCTGAATATAGACTAGGATTTTATTTTAAATGTGAAAGCCATTGGTTTTTTGTTGTTTCTGTTGTTAGTTAAACCTAGAAAGAAGCAGTATCTGTAATTCAGAAGTGTTTCCAAAATTTATAATAAATGATGAATATGTTTACCTTTTATATCTTGCAACCTCCATTTGTAAAATAATGCTTCTTTTATGATGTTGTAAGCATGTCATATAGTTAATATTTTATGTCTTACGCACTGTGTGGTAAAATTAGAATTACTTAAATTGACCATCAAAACAGGTACTTTAGTATAGTTGTCATTTAGGACCAAGCACTAAATTTATAATGCTCTTTTTAATGAGATAGCTCTTCACTAAAATTTATAATATGATAAGATACTGATCTTGAGAGGTTTCCTTTGAAGACACTCCAACTTAAAAGTAAGAGTGAAAATGTACCCTTTTACCTCAGGTAAGTTTTTCAAATTAAAAACTATAATAAAAGCAAATAAATACAGTTCTGGTGTATTTAAGAGCTGTATATTTTAGGTACATGTTTGGGACAACAGTAGATAACATTTTTTTGTTTCTTTCCTCAAAATATGTATACTCACAATTTCATAACGATAAATTGTGAATTTTTTTTTTTCCTCTAGTCTGAATTGGAGAAGCCTAGAGGCAGGAAAAAAACACCCGTCACAGAACAGGAGGAGAAATTAGGTATGGATGACTTGACTAAGTTGGTACAGGAACAGAAACCTAAAGGCAGTCAGCGAGGTCGGAAAAGAGGCCATACGGCTTCAGAATCTGATGAACAGCAGTGGCCTGAGGAAAAGAGGCTCAAAGAAGATATATTAGAAAATGAAGATGAACAGAATAGTCCACCAAAAAAGGGTAAGAGAGGCCGACCACCAAAACCTCTTGGTGGAAGTACACCAAAAGAAGAACCAACATTGAAAACTTCTAAAAAAGGAAGCAAAAAAAAATCTGGACTTCCAGCACCAGAGGAGGAGGAAGAAGAAGAAAGACAAAGTGGAAATACAGAACAGAAGTCCAAAAGCAAACAGCACCGAGTGTCAAGGAGAGCACAGCAGAGGTAAGCATGTGTAACTCTAAACTGCATCTATTTCATTACTATATTATAAATCATAATTTGATGCTATCCACATTTGGGTCTTCCCAAAGCAGAGCAGAATCTCCTGAATCTAGTGCAATTGAATCCACACAATCCACACCACAGAAAGGACGAGGAAGACCATCAAAAACGCCATCACCATCACAACCAAAAAAAAATGTGTAAGTTGTGAATATTAAATTTCAAACCAATTTCAAATTATTTTGAAAAAGTTCCTAAATTTGTAAACATACATATTGCTATATTTAAATTCCATATATTTAGCCCCATTACACTAGGTAAGATAAAATTTTTATAAACTTACCTGAGTGACTGATATCTCAATAAACTATCTTGTACATTTTTACAGGTGTAGGCAAATCTTTATAAGTGGATACCAAATAGCATATTATTTCCTATACAGACTTTATGATATCTAAGGAAATGATAAGATATTTTTAAATAATCACCACACATTGACCAGGTTGCCTCGTCATTCCACAAAACCATTTTTTTTTAATGTTTCTCATTAGCACCTTTTCTTTTAAATGAAAGAAAACAGGTCTATGCTTCTGTTTTTATTCTTTGAACTTGTAGTAGGAAAGTAACAGGTACTATTTTTTAAAAATTATATCCATACAAATTATCACGTTGGTCTCAAATGTTTGATATCTTGGTTTTGTTTGTTTTCTAATCCAGTTCGTGTATCTACATCAACATGTATATAGTTTTAGATGTTCACACAAACACATTTATAAGAGAGGTATAGTAACAGTGTGTACCCCAAATTTTAGTGTCATAAGAATATCAGTGCTATAATTTGTAGATTTGACAGTATTTTTTCTCCTCAGTTATGTGAGTGGAAATAAAGTAGCATGTCTTCTATTAGTCGGAAATTTAGCACACTTTTTCTGAGAGCAATCCCACCCATACATAATTACATCAGTGGCTTGACTTTTCAGAGTTGCCAACATACTGTGTCGTTAAATACTCAATTATCTTAGAGATTTTCCTATTCCTGTGTATTCCACAGGAAGAGGAAAAGTTGCCTGGGTGTCTAGCCAGTACTTCATGCCATCTTCCATGTAATTTTTCTATCAGGTTAAAAGTAAAGGTAAGTACATTTTTTGTGGCAGCTTTATAAATGTGTTTGGATTCAGCCAAAGGAAATCAGTATTTCTAAACAAAGGATTCTTAAGGAATCCTTTATTTAATAAAATTCACATGAATGATGTAACAAGGAAATAACAAACCTCATAATTTTAGTTTGTTTATATTTGGACATCATGAAATTCAGGGTTTAAATGATTATTGTGCTCTCCTAAAATTACACAAGTCCTGTGAATATTCTAAACCAAATAAGTATTTCTGTAAAAAAAAAAATTGATACAGAAAAAGATTCTGTAGTCTGTCTTGGAAGCCTATCTTCCTTTCACTGGGAAGCTCTTTCTAGAGCTAGATATAACATAATAACGTATGTTAGGATTTGTTTCTTTTTCTTGTTCTGACATCAATGAAATTGAAAAAGATTGTCATTATGTTTCATGTAATTTCTATAGTTTCATTAATCCCGAAAAACCAAACCAAGTAGAAAAATTGTTTGGTTTGAGCATGAGTTAAAAAATGCACATTTTGGATTGCTTATAGAAGTGATAAGTTATGTTCCTAATTTTAAAAAGTAAATATTTATCAAGAGGGATCCATTTGATTAGATGGTTCTATTACATATTTTTTGATGCCTCCTGTGTTTCAGAGAGTACTAGGTGCTAGGGACACAAAACAGACATGGTTCTTGTTTTCATGGGTTCGTGGTTCTTGTCTTCTACCATCTAATGGAGTGAGGAAGCTTTTTCTTTAAAAGTAACAATGAGTTGATATCTTGAGAATAGTAGGGGCTAGACAGGCAGAGAACAGGTGGCAAGAACACTGTATTTGAAGTTTCTGAAGTGAGAAAAATCTTGGCAAAATCAGAAAACTAAAGGAAGGCAAGGGTTTGCTGAATTGTAGTTGTGGGGAGTTGGGGAGCAGAAAGAGATGAGAACGAACAGGTAGGCATGGACCATCTACTGTTCCTTGTATACTGTGTTAAGGAGGTTTACAAATTATTCTCAGCTCAGTGGGGAGCTCTGTAGTGGCAGTGACATCATCTGTCTTGTACTTTTAAAAGATAACTTTGTAAAGAGATAAGACAAGAGATGGGAATGGTTTGAGTTAGGTGGTAGCAATGAAGATGTGGAGAGAAGTGAATGAATTTGAGATCTCTGTAAGAATCTGTAAGGCCAAAGACTGGTACACTATATTCAAAGCAAAATCCCTTTCTGCTTAGAGCAGCTCAGTAGACATAGATGCCTTTTACTGCATTAGGAAAGATGAAAGGAAAAGACTTTGAGTTATGTTTTGAATTCCTTTATTGTATGTTTTCAGTCACTTTTTTTTGTTGTTACTTGGTAGATAATTTGTAAGATTCTGTGATTAAATGCTAGTGTAGGATTCAGAATATTAAAGAAATGTTCTTGTCTCATAAAGTAATTGAGGGTAAACATGATATGACAATTGATGAAATACTTGAAGCATTTCTTCTAACGAGGTAATCTACTGAAAGATTGGAACGTTCATTGTATTTTACATGTGTTTTACTCTAGCCGTGTAGGACGCTCCAAACAAGCAGCTACTAAGGAAAATGATTCAAGTGAAGAAGTAGATGTGTTTCAGGGTAGCTCTCCTGTCAATGATGATATTCCACAGGAAGAAACAGAGGAGGAGGAAGTTTCTACAGTAAATGTATGTGTTCAAAGTTTCTTTGAGTGGTGTGGTATATAAAAACAGTAAATGTTTGGTTAGATCATTTAGTACTTGTCTAATTCTAAGTATTTATATATTTTTCTTCATTAGTTTATAGCATCGTTTCATCTACCAGGTTGGATAATGGAGAACATCTCTTATGGAAACCCGAAACTAAGCAAATAGGTGTAGCTTAGTGAGAATGTAAATGTCAAGTCTGAACTGAATGTATAGCATTCTAATATTGACACTTTAAGCGTTTAAGTTGTACCTTGATTTTAGGGCACTGATACGCATTAAGTATACTACTGTTTATATTTTACAACTCTCTGTTTGGTATTTCTATTTGGGTTTCATAATAGAGATTAGAAGTTAGTTACACAGAATAAAATCAGCCTTTGGAATTGAAGTTTGAGCTGAATGAGAATTCATAAAATTGGTAATACATACTTATTTTGCAAAGTAGGGATGTGTTACTTCCTGACTTTTTTGTTTTTGTTTTTGAGACAGTCTCACTCTGTGGCCCAGGCTGGAGTGCAGTGGCACACGATTTGGGCTCACTGCAACCTCCGCCTCCCAGATTCAAGCAATTCTCCTGCCTCAGCCTCCAAAGTAGTTGAGATTACAGGCCAGTGCTACCATGCCTGACTAGTTTTTGTATTTTCAGTAGAGACGAAATTTTACCATGTTGGTCAGACTGGTCTCGAACTCCTGACCTCAAGTGATCTGCCTGCCTCGGCCTCCAAAGTGCTGGGATTACAGGCATGAGCTGCTGCACCCAGCACTTCTTGACTTTCAAAGTAATAAATAAATAACTTTACCGGTTAATACAACTCAGATATTTCTTTTCTGAAAAAATATAATACATTTAAGTAGAAGCTCTTCTCCCATCTTTGTTTGAGAAACCCAAGTTCTGTAATCAAGTCTCAGAATTGGTCTCTACTGTTCTGTCATATTTAATGGAATCAGAACTCCTATCTGTACCAGGATTCATGTTTGTGAGTAAGTGAGTTAAGTACACAGGAAAATATGCTTAATTGTGGTCTCAAATTAATTTGGCTTGTTTCTTAAAGGGTTTTGGGGGGACATCAAAGTAAGGAAGGCTGAAGAGTCAGTAACGATTTATGTCTTCACCAGAGAAAACTACATAGTAAATTAAAACCCTTTTTTATATTCCTATTGTTAATATTGACATTTTTTGAACTAAAGTTTTATGCTTTCATTAGTGCCTGCCAGTAAATGATAATATGTTTGAATTTTAGGTTATTTTACTGTATTGATAATTGTTAAGATTCAAACTCAGTAACTACTTTCCCAGAAAGATAATGTAAGTTCATAAATGTGAAATGTTTTCATTTACCACAGGAAACATAAGTAGAAAGATGATTAATCTGTTTGAGTTATTTTTCTTTCTGTAGACATTGACTTCTGTGATAGAAAAGTAAAATAGTTTTTTTCTTTTGCTGTTCTGGGAAAGTCTGTGAGCATGTAAGGGTTCAAATATTATAGAGGTCTGAATATGTGATGCCAGGGCAGAAAGTAAGGATAAAAAAGTTTCAGGGAAAGGAAAGCAAAGAAAATCAGGAACAAACGAGAATAAAGATTGGTTAAAAACGATTACTGCATATCTTATGCACATATACCCATTTTAATTAAGCATCTGGTGACTTTCCTTTTAAGGTACGCCGGCGAAGTGCTAAAAGGGAACGACGATGAACAAATGTAATTAATAACTTTCTCTGTGAAAGCTTTGGAAAAATCTTTTTTTTTTTTTTGGTCAAACTTGAGGCTGAATAAAGCCTTTGATGCACAAAATGGGACTGCTGAAGAGTGGACAGTTGGACCTTACTTTGGTGACCCCATACAATTTGTGGTCACATGCTTTAGCCATACGCATGATAACCTTGACTATGGAGTCTTGTGAAAGTGTAATGTGCGATGGCTGTGTAGACATAAAGAAGAAACTTGTAAATATCTTTTTTCTTTTTTTAATGTTTCTGACTTCTGAAGTGCTTGTATAGCTTTTATCTGCGGCTTTAAACTGACAGTACCCAACTGTTTATTGGATCTATTGATTTGAAAAGAATTTGTTAGGATAGATCTTAAGCAGTAATCTGTCAGTGTTTGTATTTGTATTCTCTGCAATTTTACTGTGAAAAAATTTTTTTTCAACAATTGGTGTCATTTTCTTGATGTCACTATTTGTTGGAGAGTTAAATGGTCTCTTCCCCTTGTGTATCTTACCTAGTGTTTACTCCTGGGCACCCTTAATCTTCAGAGGTGCTAAATTGTTTGCCATTACACCGGAACGATGCCTCTGATAGGAGGACAACCATGCAAATTGTGAAATAGTCCTGAAGTTCTTGGATTACTGTACACCTCAGTATTGATTGGTCCCAGAATTTTCTGGCCTTTCATGGCAATGAAAATTTTAAGAAGAAAGATTTAAAGTATTTTAATTTTAAAGAGTGTGTTATAAAATAATGTACTGAATTCTTTATCCCATTTTATCATCCTTTCAGTTTTTATTAATCTACTGTATCAATAAAATTCTGTAATTTGAATGAGTTTTTAATAGTCTAGAATGTTATTGTGTATAGATATTTCCTCTTGAACATTATGTTCAAAAAATGCAAATTACACTATAATATAAAACCTGATATATACACATTAGAAAAATTCCAGTTCTCCATAACAGTGTGAAGTTAATCAGAAAGAAAAAATTTTATTGATGCAGTGTGTCTTTATAAAGCTGTTCTTGAAAGCCAAGTGTTTTGTATTTTATAGTGAGTTGCATGTTTATGAAAAAAAGTGCTGAAAATGGGATGTGCTCTTTTCTGTAAATTCATATTTAGCCATAGTCTATGATAGATTGCCCCATAACATAGTTTTTCATCAAGAGTTTATTATTGTACTTTATTTTGGAGCCAAAAAATTGATTCTGGGGGGTGGGGCAGGGTAGAAGTGGTATATCCAACTATATCAGCTACTGTAGTTGTCACAGTCTTGTGAACTTTGAATGAAATTCCACTTTGTCCAGATTGGGAGAAGTGGAAATTTATTTGGATTTAGAGCAGGTCTTTTTTTTCCTTCATTGTAATCTGCAAAATACAGAAATAAATTGCTTAAGGCGGTATCCTTTGTACAGTTGTATAAACTGTATTTTGAACCAAAACATGTAGGTTACTACTTAATGCTTACCTAAATTCATTTTAGTATTTTAGGTGCTGTTATGTTTTTTCATGGTTAACACCAGAGAAAAATAAAAATCATATTCTAACTTATTAAATTTATCACATTGAATAGTGGAACATTTTCATATGATACACCATTATGTTTAAGGTATATTTCCAAGATTGGTTATAATAGATGGGGCATATAATAAAGAAGCTACTATTTTGGAAAATGACATTTTACTATTTGCCAATGTATACTGTAGTTGATACGATTATTTTTCTTTTAAAGATTTGTTCGTGTTTATGAAACAGCCATTTATTTTTTAAAAAGTGTTTTGAATTGTGTCTTAATCTCTCCATATTTAACTATTCTTCATTTACAACAATACTGACACCAGTAATTATGAGAGGCTGTCATATATCAAAAGCAGCTCAGGTTGGATCAAGATACATTGGTTTTGAAATGGTTCCTTAGCTCGGTTTTCCCAAACACATAATTTCTGTTTCAGCAGTACAAAGGCATGTTTTAAAATCTGTAACATAAAGAATAAGGAATAGCTTTGTATTTTTGTCATTGATTAAATTGCACCGGAAATGTTTATGGAAATATATCATTAAGAACATTTTATAAAACATACGAAAAAATGATTGTGAAGGATTTTTATTTGCATGATCATAGTTAACCAAATTTCGTTGCACATTTTTGTAATGCTGTACAGCAGTTCACAAAAAAATGTTCATTGTAGATTTTGTTATGTTCAATGCCAATGAGTCTGTAATTTTACAACCTGTCTGTTCTTTTTTTGGGTGGATTACGATGTAAATTTTTCTTTTTCTTTTTTTTTGGTAGAGAAATAGGTGCAATAATCACAGTTTTGATGTCTCGAGTCTCCATCCTAGGGGATTATCTTACGTTTAAACTTAACATTTCATGTATTAACATTTCATGTACTAACATTTATAGAAGCCACATACTTTACAATAAAATTAAGTGTGTATAAAACATTAATTGCTAACAATTGTTAGCAGACTATTCAGTGATAATGTTCGTTTAGAAAATATGTACTGTATAACATTAAGAAAATATTTAACTCCCTGTAACAAGCTCCATTATGAAAATCTTATTCCTCAGTGAGGTTATCTTGCTGCACTCTGTAGCAAATTTGTTTAATCCACATTATAATAAAATGTCTTGCTGCAGTGCAACAGGAAGCTTTTTCAGTGATCTCCACTGTATATGTAAATTACAAATGTGGCTGTAAAACTTATTCCAGGTATTAAAGGTTAAATTACTTTCTATCTCTTCTTATAACTTGGAAGTTTGATTTTTAAGATTTTATTTTGTCCACTTGTAAGAATGTCAGGAATTTAAGAATTTGTTTAAATTAGGCATATCTCTGCCACCACATAGTATTATGTCACCATAATGAACAATTGATATTTAAATACATAACCAATTTTCAGACACATTTTTAGATTTCTGTGAAGTTGAATAAACATGAAAGCTAATGTGAGTGTATTATTTTGTTTATGTAAATCAACATATATATTTAAATACTAAATGGAGAAAGGCACATTTGATGATTTTTAATTTTGGAGCCTTTGTTTCATGAAGTGGTAACATGTCTCAGTAACTTTTTCCAAACCTTTTGTTTAAACTTCTCATGCAAAATGTTGGCGGACAGAGGTTTTTTAAGTATTAAGTTAAATAATTGCGTAACTGAACCAAATAAATGTATAATATAAATTTTAAAAATAAGCACTAAATAAATAAGTTGCCAGTCGCAGTTTTATTAATTCATTTGGCAAACATTTATTAAGTGCCTACTATGTGCCAGGCACTCAAAAATTTTACTCAGTTTTGCGGAGGATAAAGTGTGATCAAGATAGAATAAGTCCCTGCTTTTGTGGTACTTTCATTATATTAGAGGTGGGTGAATAAGCAAAAAAAAAGAAAAAAAATTAATATATAATGTCAGGTTGTGAACAATGCAGTGAAAAAAAGGAAAAGCAGGATAGAAAGTACTAATGATAGATGGAGAAGTTATTTTATATACTTTGAAACATACAGTTTAGGATTGTTATATGTTCATGATGAAGTGATACGGTTTGTAATTTAAAATGTCACTTGGTATCTTTATGAATATTTTTAATCTACTTTGCTTGATATTAATGTAGCCATATCAGTTTTGTTTTAGCTATTGTTTGCATGATAAAATTTTTCCTTTTATTTTCAACATATTTATGTTCTCATGGTTAAAATGTGTATCATGTAAACATATTATACTTGGATTTTGTTCTTTCATCTGAGAGTCTTTGTTCTTTAATAGTGTTTAAGCTCTAGTGTAGTTACTTATATAGTTGATTTTAAATCTACCATTTTGCTATTTATTTTCTTTTATGCCAGTCTCTCCTTTATTTTCTCCTTTCCTGCCTTTTTCTGGCTCAGTTAAGTGCTTTTTATTATTCTATCTCTTCCATTAGCTTTTTAGTTAAACCTGATTGTGTTATTTTAGAATTACAGTTTTAATGTTTGGCTTATTGTAGTCTGTGATTAATGCTTTTGCCACCATCAGAACAATGCAAAAAGTTTAAAACAATTCAGCTGTATCTGCCTCTCGATCCTTTGTGCTAAAGTTGTCTATTTTCAGTATAAAAATGCCACAATATCTTTGTTGAATAGTCCATGTTCTCATATTTACTCATAGATTTTCTGTTTTCGCTCTGTTCTTCTTTTAAGAATCGTTTTGTGCTATCATGTTAGTTCATTTTTCTTTCTTTTTTTTTTTTTTAATTTCTTGTTTTCAGCAGTTTGACTATGGTATGCCTAGGTATGCTTTTCATTTTATTTAATTTGCTTGGGGTTTACTGACCAGTTGTATCTGCAGGTTGATGTCTTTCATCAGTTTTGAAACATTTTTGGCTGTTACCTCTTCACATATTCTACACTATTTTCTCTTTTTGACATTCCAGTTATAAATGTGTTAGACTGCTTGTATCCCATCTGCCTTTAAGTGTGTTTTCTGTTCTTTCCACTCTCTTTTTCTCTCTGTGCTTCATTTTGTATATTTCTGTTGATCCATCTTCAGATTTCTTTTGCTATGTCCGTTCTTCCTGTTAACTTTTCAATTAGTTATTAATTTCAAATATTGTATTTTTTAGGCCAGTGTGGTGGCTCGCACCTGTCATCCCAGCACTTTGGGAGGATAAGGTGGGTGGACCACTTGATGTCAGGAGTTCAAGACAAGCCTGGCCAATGTGGTGAAACCCTGTCTCTACTAAAAATAAAAAATTAGCCGGGTGTGGTGGTGGGTGCCTATAATCCTAGATACTCAGGAGGCTGAGGCGGAAGAATTGCTTGGACCTGGGAGCCAGAGGTTGCAATGAGCTGAGATCATCACACAGTGCACTGCACTCCAGCCTGGGGGACAGAGTGAGACTCTGTCTTTAAAAAAAAAAAAAGTATTTTTCAGTTCTAGAATGTCCAGTTAATAATATTTTATAGATTTCAGTTCTCTGTTGAAAGTCTCTTTTTACTCATCTTTTCCTCTTTTCTCTTAATTATATAGTCCAAATCTGTACGAATTAACTACAACATCTCAGTCCTTTGTGGATCTCGTTCTTTTAACTGTTTTTTCTATTGAACATCAATCAAAATTTTCCTGGTCACATTTTTTCCTTCCTCTTATGGATCTTGTAACTTTTTTCTTATTTGAGGACATTGAATTAAAGTACTAAAGGATTGAAGTTGATGTGATTTTTCTCCCAAGAGATTTTCCCTTTTTTCTTTTAGGCATTATAGAGATTGATCACCTCAAGAGTTGAGCCTGGGTTGCAACTTTAGTTAGATTCAATCTGGTTGTTTCAAATGTCTTAATGGTAAGATGTGCATTATGTGACAGACTAGCACAGCAAACCTGCAGGAGATTTCGTTCAAGCTATTCCGCCCAGCTTCTCAGCAGGAATGCTATTTGACACAGGGTAGTCAAAGGTGGCTTCTTTGAGAAGGTGACATCTGAGCATGGATTTCAATTAAGTGAGGCAGCAAGCCTTATGAATATCTGAGAGAAGAGTATTCCAGGCAGAGGGAAGAGTAAGTACAAAAGTCGTTAGTCAAGAATGAACTTTGTGCATCAAGGATTTCAAGAAGGCTGATGTTTCTGGAGTTGAACAAAAGATGAAGGGTAGACCTGTGATGTCTCTTGGCAATTTTGTTCAAAGGTTGATGAGAATCCATTGTAGGCTTTGAGTAGGAGAGTGGCAGGATTTCTTTGTTTTAATTTTTAAAAATGCTACTCTGGCTATTGTTGAGAATGGCTAATAGAGTGTAAGAATAGAAGCCCCCCAGTTTTATTAAGTTATATTAGTAGTCTAGACAATTTGTTCATTCATTTCACAATGAGAGTGATAGAAGTTGTGAGAAGTACTTGGATTCGTGAGGTATTTTGAAGTTACAGTTAGTAACCCTTGCTGACGGATATGGAAGTGTGAGGGAGATAAATCAAAGATGACTCCTAAGCTTTGAGCTAGAGAAACTGAGTGAGTGGTGTCATTTACTGATATGAGGGAAGCTGGGTGGGACATATTCTTCAGGATAAAATATTTGGTGTCAGGGTTCATCAGTTTCAGCATGTGATTTATTAGTATTTACATAGTCTTTGGGTGCTTTGGATATTTGGATTCCAGTCCTTTATGTGAATTTGTTTGAAGGTGGAAACAGCTTCTAAAAAAAAAAAAAGTAGGCATTTTACATCATCTGGCATTTCTAAAATCTGAAAGCATGTAACTATTAAGAATTTATTATAATACCTCCAATTCAGCATTTCTGAAACTAAATGAATAACCTTTCCTTCCCAAATCTGATCGTCTTTGTATGTCTGAAAATGGAATTAGTGTCTAACTAGTAATGCAAATCTATAAATTTGCTTTAATTCCTGTCCCTTACACCTGTATACAGACTGTCATCAAGTCCTGTTGAGTTTACCTCCTGATTATTCCTTGAGTTTTTCTACTTTTTTCCACCAATCTCCTTTAAGTTCTCATCATTTCTTTGCCTCTTTGTTGGTCTCACATTTACTCTTGCCCCGCCTCAAATTCATTTTCATAATGTAGCCAGATTGTGAAGTACCATGATTTCATCTACCCTCCAGCAGCAGCAGCAGCAGCAGCACAACAGTAACAAATAATATAAACCTTTTATCCTTTCAATGGGATAAAATTTTAAGACACCACTGATTTTAGGATAATGTGCCTACATTTATATACTTTTAATATAAATCGCTTTTAGGATAATGTGCCCTACAAAGCTCTACATCATGGGTCACTCCTGTTTAGCTAATTCTTCCGTCATATTTTGTGTTTTATTTCATTGATTTCTTTTTCTAATTTTTATCTTTTGCCTGTACCAATATCTAATTCACTATACCGATAAGTTTTTATATTTGGTCCAAAAATTCTCCAAGTCTTAATTTTAAAAACGTGTTGGTCATTCCTTGGCTATTCTTGTTATTTTTGCTTATTCAGTATTGAGTCTTCCCACTGAGATAGATTTTTTTAAGGCCCTCCTTTCAATACAGTTTTTATTTTCTTCTTAGGAATAGGCTTTGCACCTTTTAAAATGTTTTATGGGTTGTATTATTATTACTTATCTTGCTATTTCCATTATTTTCTATTTGGTATAACTGCTATGCTTTTTTGTTTTTTTTTTTTTCTTTTGAGACAGTCTTGCTTTGTGCAGTAGAGCAATCTCAGCTCACTGCAACCTCTGCCTCCCAGGCTCAAGCAATTCTTGTACGTCAGCCTCCCGAGTAGCTGGGACTACAGGCGTGTGCCACCACACCCGGCCAATGTTTTGTACTTTTAGCAGAGATGGGCTTTCACCATATTAGCCAGGCTGGTCTTGAACTTGTGGCCTCAAGCCGATCCACCCACCTTGGCCTCCCAAAGTGCTGGGATTACAGATGTGAGCCACTGAACCCAGCTGCTATTTTGTTTTTAGCTGCTTTGTTGAACTCTAATTCTAACAGCTTTTCAGTTAATTATCTTAGATTTGTTAGATAGATAATACAGTCTGCAAATGGTTTTGTCAGTATTGTTTCATGTTGTTCTGATATGTATACAAAATGTCTTTCTGGTCTAATTAGCATTGGTTGGTTCCTCCAGAGCATTGTTAAATAGAAAGCATTCTGCCTTTTCTAATTTAAGACAGTTTCTATTTCTAGTCAGGTTATTAAAAAATAAAATCTGGAATATATGTTTAATTCCATGTTTGCATGGAAGTTTATGTTTTTAAAAATATAATTGAATTATATTAATATACGTCATATATAGAATAATCCTCGCTTTGGTAGGACTAACTCAGCTTGGTCATGCTACTAGATTCAGTTTGCTAATATTTTACTTAGTATTCTCATGTCCGTCTGAGATTGCTTTATAATTTGTCATACTAGCATTATTCCAGTATTGACGTAAGGAGTTTTTGCTAGCCTTCTAGAATGAGTTGGAAAGTT